GGCGCGGCGCCACTCGGCCATGGCCCAGAAGAGCGTGCCGACGTTGCGCAGCATGCTGCGGTTGCAGGGGCCGTCGCAGACGGTGTCGACAAAGGGCCGCAGCTCGGCCTCGGCGGCCGGCTCGAGCGCGAGGACGCGCAGCGCGAGGATGGCGAGCGTCACCGGGTTGACAATGAGCTCGACGCGCGCCTGGAACAGGCGCTCCTTGTCGCGCAGCGTGAGCAGGCGCCGCTGGCGGAATGGGTGCTCCCGCGTGGCGGGCAGCGCCGCGATGCTCGACGTCACGTCAAACGGGCTAAACACCTGCAGGTAGGCGAGCTCGTCCTCGGCCGACATCTCAATGGGGTGGTGCGACGCAATGTCTTTGGCGTCGTCGGTTTCGGGCACGAGCGTGGCGACGGGCCGGCTAAAGGGCAGGAGGCCGATGGGGTTGAGCGCCGCCATCATGAGCTGCTGCGACTGCGGCGGCTGCGCCAGCGGGTCCGCGGGGATCAGCGACCGCCGCAAGAGGTCGAGGATCTTATCCTTGTTGTCCGGCGCGGCGTAGCGTCCCGTCTTTTGCGTGCTGAGCAGCCGCGCATTCTCCTGCGTCGCCATCTCCAGGTCGCGCTGCAGCTGCGCGAACTGCTCGCGCAGCGCGTTCCGCTCCTTGACCTTGGCGGGGTCCAGCAGCGAGACGTTGCGCACCGGGTCGGGATGCGCCGCGTCGCGCGGGCGCTCGTCGGCAGCCTCTGCGGCGGGCGGGTTCGGTCGGCGCTGGAGCGCCGGCGGCGTGGGCACCGCCGGCTGCTGCTCCTCGTCGCCGGGCCGCATCGGTGGCTTCTTGAGGGGCGATGATTTTTGCTTCGCCCTCGACTTCCAGCGAGACGGGCTGTTGTGTATGCCCCTGGACGGCGAGGACGTGACTGGGTCTGGTCGGGCTGGGGGCAGCTCTGGCTCGGGTGGTGGCGGGTGGGCGGCGGCACCAGTGACTGGCTCGGGACGCGGTCTCCTGGGCACGAATTCGACAGTGGGATCTTCTCGCTCCTGCAAACGCGACGTGTCGGCTCGCGATTCGGTGCTTGTTCTCGTGGGCCCAGCTGGCGGTGGCTGTTGCTGTTGCTCCCCTGGTGGTGCTAAAATGCCCCCGCGGGCCAGGCGACGGGCAGGCGCTGCTGCTCCTGTTTGCTCCGCGGTTTGCGCGGCGGCGGCGTCTGCGGCAGCGGCGGCTTCCCTGCGCTCTATTATTTCCGGGTTATGGCGCATCATGCTGGCTCTGGTCGGCGACGCATACGAAGGGCGTCGCCGTCGCGACCGTGGAGAAGAGCGCTGTTCCTGGCTGGGGTTCAACCCGTCGGCGGCAGCAGCACCGGTCCGCCGTCGTTTTGGAGAGGGCTCATCCATAGTCCCATGTGTGTTCGGAGGGCACTTTGTTTTTATAAATGAGCTTCGAATTTCGGCATGCCCGCTTGTCCCGGTCGATATCGCGTGTTGATGAAAAAGTGTCAACGTTCTTGAAGATCCGTCGCGTAACCGTGACGGCGCCAAACAAAAAAGTGGGTATACACAGCTCAAAAAGGCAAGTCGGCATCTCAATGAACGCAAGTAGTCAAAGGGAGTGGTGAGACTGAAATTAAATTGTATTTTATCATGGGGAATAAAATTTACTAGCAAAATTTAGGGAAATCGTCGTCACGCCACTTCCTTCTGAAAATGCTGTGCAGTCCAACAACACCGGCCTGTGGGCAAGTCGCGTTAGCTTCCGGCTTGCCTTGCATCTGGCAATTCTTCAAAACCCGGGTTCGCATACTCTAGAACTGTCCATTTGTCATTTCTTACTTGTTCGATGGATCATTTCAAGTGGCCGCTGCCAAACGTCTCCTTTATACGATTCTACATGGCTGAAGGTTGCGGTTTATAAACTACTATGCAATATTCTGTCGTACCTGTTACTGAGCTTTGTTCTTCTGTGGATGGGCTAATAGGGAATTTAGTGAAGCCCGAAGCCCCTCGAATTTTCATGCATTTGCAAACCCGTGCTCAGCTAATTTCGGCCCCTGCAGGAATGCTAAAGGCTCCTTCAATGGAATAGGTTGCAACACGAGCTTTTCCATCATGCTCATTGCTTCCTTTATCCGCTTCGATTCCTCCTCCAATATACACCTTGTCTGATCTCCTACAATCAAACTCCGGGCAAGTCGGTCATCGGTGAAGAGATTTGGTCTGCTGAAATATGGCTCGACAGACGTGTTTTGAGAGTCTGGGTCCATGGTAGCTCCTGCGCCGATTTGCAGGTCAATGTTCCAATTCTGGGCAAGGAGACTCAGGATACTGACCGCCTGCTCAGCGAACTGATGGCACGGTGCGATTTCTGCAAGTCCGTCCATACCCTGCTGTACATTGTCAATAATGTTTGGATCGACTGTTGTGCCGCGACCGTCCGCATTTGGACGAGCGGTCAAAATGCCAATGGAAAGCAACGTGACGGAGGAGGTGAGTATAAAGTACGGTAAAAACGTCGGTGTTCTTTTGAGCGTGTACAGTTGCGCATACCACCTCAATAGGGCACTCATTGAGTTTGCTGATTGCAGACAGACCTTCTTCGGGACGACCGCAGACCCTATGATATCTAGGCGAAGAAATGGCCGAAAAAGCAGGAGAATGCTGAAATGGTATTGCATGCTACGTCTAGGTTATTAACGGTGCAAGACTGGGTTATCGCTCGACTTGGGACTTACTGAGAAAATAAGACAGCCGGGGTAAAGTTGTGGCCTAGTTTGAGAACGGTGGGCACATTGTCAAACCAAGTGACGCAGCTTGCGTAGATGGCCAATAACCGCTTTGCCGTGACTTGCTCTCCCGGTGAATGAAATAGGTAGACGATTTGATGGGTCAACTCGCTTAGCTCGACGTAGCTCCTGAATACCGAACGCACATGAGACAGCTGTCCATGGAAACCGTTCGGTGGCGTGCCTGAATGAAATCAGCACCGACCGAAAAGGACCCAAAGCACTAAGCGCAGCTAGAGCTAACCTGCGTCTGTGTAGGGAAGCCAAGGTGAGTTCTCAATGGCTTGCAGAATGGGTGGTTTCGGCGGCCCGATGACTTGCTTCGAGAAACACGGCAACGAGTACGTCGCAAGTGACCATGCCCTATCGCACAGCAACTGTTAGCCGTATACTTGCACAAGAGACCGAAAACGCAACTCACTGGTCCAACGAAAAAGCTCCCCAGTAGGTGGCACTCAAGACGGCAAACTCATCCGTCTCTCTCCCCTCGGACGACCGCTCCACCATGCGATGCAGGCCCATCTCGACCGCAAGTCGCATGCTCTGGCCGGCATAGGCCATACTCTCGCTCGAGTGGCCGCAGCTCGCCTCCCGGATCGACAGCACCCCCAACGCCTGAATCACGAGCAGCGAGTGGTGGTCGGGCTCCCGGTGCAGGAGCCGGAGCGCCTCGTTGAAGAAGTGCTGGCCGGGTGGGCAGCACGGCTCGTCGGGGCGGGCGGCCTCGGACCCCGGAAACCGGGAGAAGCGGCACCCGAGAGAAAGCAGCGCGTTGACGAGCAGCGGGGAGCAGTACCGGGGCCGTCCCTGGCAAAAGTCGCGGAGAAACTGCTCCTTGCTGAGCGAGGCAAAGGTGGGATGCTCCCAGCAAAAGTACAGCCCGAGCAGGTGGGCTACCAGTTCCATGCTGCTGGTGACCGTGGTCCACGTTTCGCGGCCTTGCCTCATGACGGAATCTTGCAGGGATGCGACGGCGTCACCGAGAGCGCGGGGCTCGTCGGTGCCATCGACGACGTGCGTGGCGTGCCGCGACTCGGCCCACGCGGCGAGGCGGGATCGCGCCGGCTCCGGAAGGTCAGACAAGTCCTGTAATGTCGCGCGCTCGGAGAGGATTGTCTCGCGCCGTGCTTGGCTCCAATTCGGGGACTTTTGCCGGATGCTCTGCTCAACGGTCAAGGGTGGTGTTTCCCCCATCCCGCCCGGGTCGAAGAGCGCGTCGTTTGTACTGGGCGGTAGGATTCGACGAGCACTAGCGCTGCCGCTGTCGGCGGCCGGAGCAGCGATGGCCTTGGGTCGCTGTTCTGTGCTCGCAAGCCAACTTGCGATGCTATCAATGGACTGTCGGGCCTGTAGCCGAGCCAAGATTTCGCTTTGCACAATGGGCTGTCCAAGGCCCGCCAGGACTAGATTGGTTTTATTTTGCTGTTCTCTTAACGCGTCGAGCTCTTTTCGAAGTTGGGGTTTGGATATTCGCGTGGGAGTCTCATAGACGCAATTCTGGTTGCTTCTAGCTTTGCATCCGCCGCAAGGCTGGTTTCCGTCGCACTGGACGTTTCTTGTCAGCGTGCTCGCAACATGGTGCGAACGGAGCCGATGGGAAATGAAGACATCCTACCTTGGCGCGTTTTCGGCGACATTCGTCGCAGGCGTTCATCGTTACCGTACCGGGGACGCGACGTCGTTTCGTTTGTTGAATGTTGGTTGATGGCGTGGTTCTGGATGTCGCCATCTCGAACCTGTCACTTCTCTCTGTTGGTGGTACCCTTCTGTCTGTTTTCTCTTGGCTTTCCATTCTCATCTTGTGGGAAGCGTGAATGTTCATAAGCGCTGTCAGTCACCAGTTATTTCGGGGGTTGTTTCGTTCTTTCCCATCTCGACAAGTTCGGGCCGCCGATGTGTGTGACGGGTTGCTTGGTGCGTCATGGTGACGCTGCCAATATGCAAACCCGCGAAGTGTATCAGATTAGTTTGTAGTAACTCTGCCCACTCATTTGGTGGCTTAGCGGTGAACTATTGTTTTCCATTGTAAAGAAGAATTGGCTCTACTTCGAGCTTTGTCTGCATTAACGCCAAACGCCGACCAAAAATCAGACAGTGTCAAGGGCAAGTGTAAATAATTGCATCACTACAACGACACCTATCGTGGAAATACTCGAAAGCTATAGATGCTAGTAGTCTCGTTTAGGAAGACCACAGGCTTTAAAACAAATTCATTCTGGAAATGGCATCTTAGGATGGTCGAAGCATCAATCTCGTTCTCGCTTGGGATTTGCGCGTCAAGTTCAGGTCTAGTGAGTACCTGAAGCGGAGGCGCTGATAACTCTTGTTTCACATGTCTTTTATCTTTGAAGGACTATCAGTTGCAATAGTGTGTCTTGTATAATTATTGTAGACATTTCATCAAAAACAGAAAACCACACTGATCGCGGACTGTTGGAGCCAATGTGTGACAGTAGCCTACTTGCCTACCAACCCAATTCTTCCCACTAGCAAACTTGTGCTCTGACATCATCCCGATCACAGCCGACCACGGCGCAAGCCACGCTTTTTTTTTTCTCTCTCACACCTCGCGCCGGGTAACAACACCACCAACAAAATTATTCATGTTGCTGCATGACGCGGTACCCCTGATTGAACATGTTGGCGCCCTCGCGATTCGCGCCGAGGGTGTGTCGGCTCTGTCGCCGCGTTTCTTCTCCCTCTGCCCGGCGAGCATTTTCCTCGGCCACGACGCCGACGCCGCCGCCGGGGGAGCCTACCTGGCCACAGCGCCAACCGCGCGGCGAGTACTACGACATTCTCCTGCGCGATCCCACGCCGTACGGCGCGAGCATCAACAAGTCCGACGACGCGAGCCCTTTACCGTCCTCCCCCGCTGCAGGCAGCCGGCCCGCCAAGACGTACGAGACCATTTCCTCGCGCACCGCCTACTCCGACTCCAACAGCAGCACCGCGGCCGCCGACCGCGCGCGCGTCATCTTTGGCTCGCGGCTGCTCGGTCCCGCTGAGCGCGCCGAGCGCGCGGCCGGGCGGCAAGCGCGGGCGACCATGGTCGCGGGCGTGCGCGTGCCCCCGCGGCCCGAGGAGCCGGACAACTGCTGCATGAGCGGGTGCGTCAACTGCGTGTGGGACCTGTTCCGCGAGGACATGGAGGAGTGGACGCTGCAGTCCAACGAGGCCAAGAAGCGTCTGGCCGCCGCCGCCGCCGCCGCTGCTGGTGCTGCTCCGCCGGGCGAAGCCGATGGGAAGACGCCGCCGGCGGTGGGCGATGCCACGATTGCCAAGGACATGTGGACAGACGACCTCTTCCAGAACGTGCCCGTGGGGATCCGCGAATTCATGAAGCAGGAGAAGCGGTTAAAGGAAAAGCATCAGCGCGAGGGGACGAGCGGAGGTTAACAGTGACGGCAGAAGATCACTCACTGTTTGGAGGTACATTTTTGGAGCATTCACTGGCGTTTCCCGGCAAGCAAGACTTGTTTTTTTGTTTTTTTTTGTTTTACATTTTTTACATTTTCAAAGATGGATTGGGAGTAGACGCACTTGATACATGACAGGATGACAGAGTCGCGGGATGTCGGGCCGGCGGGGGGGCATGTGTCCAGCTCCATCTGACATAGACTAGATATAGAATATACATGTACATGTCCGTGACTCGCCGTGGTTCGTCAGCGAGGCATCTCAGCGTTCTCGTTTGGAATCATCGCCCCCGTTCGGCGCTGCCATCGCCGAAGCTGCAGAGCTCGTCCTACATGGTGGACACTACGTTACCGAAGCGTTACCGAAGCGCACGCCGCTATGCAAATGCACACCCCCTCGTACAGCGATGCATGCCCGCCGTCCTGCGGCAAGGATCCCGGCCTTGTGTAACGCGTATCGCTGCCTGGTGAGTGGTGGCTTGAAGCGAAGGAAAACGTGTTTTCGTGTTCCAGGTTGATGCCTCGGCACATGCGATTCCAGGAGAGGATACGGTAGGGTGTCAAGATAGTATCCGGGTTGTGCATCTACATTGCATTCTATCCGAGACAATGACGAATAAAGGAAAGAGATGAAATTCGATATGAGTATGCCCTCCAAGGCCTAGCGCCTTCTATTTACATTATTTTTGCTTGTGCGTTTTTCTTGTCTTTGGTATTGAGGATCGTGTCGCGCGTCCCGTCAGTTGTCTATTTTGGTCGGATATCATTCGTAAATTTGGAGGCACCCAGCATGATGGGTACGTTGTAAGGAACAGACGCGGACGTCTACTGACTGGGCACCGAGTTCCTGTCATGCTCCTCAATGTCGATGGCCTCCCAGGGGTAGTTGATCCAGACGTCGGAAACGGTGCGCGCGGCGTGGTAGCGGGCAGGCACCATGTCGCCGGGCAGAATTCCCTTCTTGGGCTTGTCCTTGTTGTGTAGGACGAAGATGCTAAACTCCGTCTTGGGCTGGGCGTCGCCGTCGGGCATCTTGCGCCGGGCCTCCTCAACATCTTTTTCGAGCTCCTTGACGGCGTACTCGAGTGTGGTGCGGGTGTCGTCGACTTCGTCGACAATGAGGATGCGCTTGCCAACCAGGTTCTTCATGTGGCCGAGCGCGGTGAGGTCGAGCCACTGGGTGCGCGTCACCTTGGTGCCGGGCGTCTCGACTTCGGGGTCCTCGCCGAGCTGCTCATAGAGGGAGAGGCCAATGGCCTGAATGGGGATGTTGGGGGAGCCGGGCTGCTTGAGGAAGGAGCGCAAGATGCGGGCGGGAATGTAGCCGCCGCCGCCAATGGCAATCATGAGCTGGGGCTGAAAGTCGGCGAGCAGCCGGTCGGCCGACTCCTTGCACAGGTTGTGCACCTGCAAGAGGGTGGGTTAGCACGAGAGGGCGAGTGGAGGGTTCCAGAGGTCCGCCACAAAAGCTTGTCGCAAATTATTTCATGCAATATCACCTCCCAGCTGCCGCGTCTCGAACCAGGGACACTCACATCATTGTAGGTAACGTAGAGCTTTTCGACCATTTTGAATGTATTGCGTGTGCGTGCTGGCTAAGGCGTCACTGGCGGGGTAGATGGACGCCGTTGGAGGGGTGAGAAGAAGCTTTGGAGCAGCGACGGGTGGCTGGTGGTATCAAAGAGCACAAAGGGTCAACGTAGTCGAGATGAAGCAGAGAGCCGCGGACGAGAGAAACACGGGAGCAAGATGCCCAATAGAGGAGAAGAAGAAGAAGAGAAGAAGAGGGAAAAACCCGAGGCCGCGAGAAATTTCCTATCGAAACTTTTTTTTCTCGCCCACCACCGAGGTGCCCCGCGCTGCACCAAAATAGGCAGTCATGGCCCCTCCACGAAAAGTAGGGAAGCCACTCACACTCCACCATCGGCCTCCCGTCACGCCAGTCAGCATCCACTGCTTGTTAAATTTCGCATCTGAGTCTCGGTCCCAGCCATTGGTCTGATTCCCTGCTAAATATGCAAGACTTTGTCCAGAGACCATGCATGCAGCATCTTGCATCCTTGCCTGTGTTGGCGCCCGCATGCCTCCTGCATCAACCTCCGACGACCGGAACATGACGGAGAAAAAACAGAGTTGGTTATACATGGAAATTTCCATGTGGGTATCCAAGAATGCAAACACATTCAAACCTTCCTTCGTATAGTACTCATGTGTGATTATGCACGTCTGTGCCTCAGCTGCACCCTTCTGCACCCTTCTGCACTCATCTGCAGCCCGCACGCCCTGGTGTAAATGAGATGCGTGACTCTTCGCTTGTAAACCACCACTCCAGCCTGCTTGGAAACTTGCAGCATGTCCATCCATCCTCTGAGTGGCCGTGATCTGCACTGCTCCTGCATTCAATGCTGACGCTGTCTCGCTCCACAGGCGTGTCTTGTCGTAAATACGTCGTCTTCTTGTAACAGAAACAAGCTGGTTGCTCATACACTCGTACAGTGTCGACCCCGACCCGGCACTGGCCCAGCGCTCTCGCCCCGCCACTTTTATACCCAACAACGACGCCGCGGCAGATGCCCAGTGCCTCGTCGTGATAGATGTCCACGTTGGTCACCTCGTCAAGTTCCGCGTAGGAAAAATACGCATGCTCAAACGGCGGCGACAGGTTCATCGGGTTCTGATAGAAAACTTCTTCCTCCTCGCCTTCTGCATTCCGAGCTGCCCTTCCTAGTGGATACACGGCACCCATTCGGGATATGCCATGTATCAGGGTAGTAGCATCATCTTCCATCCACAAATCCTTGCCATAGTCCATGTAAGGTCCCAACATGACTTCTCCGGAAAGAGTCATACGTAGCTGTGACAAATTAGATTCTGCACCAGTCTCGGGACACAATTATGTACGTACTAGTAGGCTGCCTGCAAATTGAGGCAATGTGGCTCCAGGGGGTAGCAACGGGATACGAAATCCAAACTTATCAATTCCACCACAGATTGGCACAAATATCCAAGCCACCCATTTCTTCTTGACGGGATTGAGGCGCTGGAAGCACGAGTAGGCTGACGGGGCCTGCTTGGTGTGAGCATGGATCGCCGCAATCGTGCCAGACGAAATGAAAAAGGTAATTCCAAACGAATGCCGGGTTTCAATCGTGCCCAAGCGCGGACATATCGGCTGCAGATCGGGCGAGAGCTGGTCATCGGTTAGTACGGGTGGCCCTGGTGTATCCCACGATCGCAATGGGGGCATCAATTTGTGTGGATAGAGCCGACCGAGCCCAAACTGCATAAATGAATTAGTATGAAATCTGGCATAAAGTGCTTTGTACTATTCAAACCTTGAAAAGTGTTGATAGTTGGCCAAGTTGCCTTACGCTACCGACTACGTAGGCGTACGTCTCGCTCCGTATCGGGCTTCTGGGTGGAACGTCTGCTAGTCGCTCAATCTCGCGCAATCCGTAAGAGTCTATCGTGAGGCGGAAGTAGGAACCGTCTCCGGGCATTGCTGGTCGGTAAGCAGAGCCTCTCTGCCATGATCCTATTTGCGACAGCACCGTCATTGATGGCATGCTCACGTTGGCTCCAGCTATGAGCTTGCGAATAAACTCCTTGGCAAGAGCATAGCGCCAGAATGTGGTGTGTCGAAGGTTGTCGCATATCAGTAGCATCAATTCACTCGGAAGCATATCCCAAGGCATGTGCCAGTGCGTGGCAGCGTGCGCCAGGGCAAGACTCGCCGCGTCATGATCCAAGATGGTCAGCGGCAAGGGCCAAAAACCACGCCACGGGTACCGAGCATGGGCGGCATACCATAGATGGTGTGCCGTGATGTGTTTATGCTCGCGTGTTTGCTGAAGAAATAACTGGAAGCAGTCTCGGTGGACCGTGACGCTTTCGAGCTCGCCGACGCACTTGGAACATCTCGGGAGCTGGCAAAATGTCCAAGGCGTGCCGGGCTTTTGGTTGCAGTAGATGGCGATAGGAAATGTCGAGGCATCAACTACTCGACAGGCAAAGGTGAAGCGATCTCCAATCACTGCACGAGGGTGAATAGAGTCGCCATCAGTCTCAAGGACAGGAAACTGTGTTTTCGCGGACTACTTACGGGCCATCATTCGTTCGCCCACGTCAAAGTAGCAGGCGCACAGGGAGCATTCTGGGTGGATGCGAACATGGCGATGTCCTTCGTGCTTGTCGGTAGCTGGTCCCATTCTTGGGGCGCTCATAATGACAAGCCTGCAGAACAGCTGCGATGTGATATGGAGCTGATGATTTCGACGAGAAGAAGACGGGAGGCGGCAAAGGGGGTGTTGGTGGCGATGATGGTGGTGATGCGTTGGTGGTGAGGCGTTGGTGGTGATGATGTTTGGTACAAGGCTTACAAGGCTGGCCAGGCGGGCCAGGCGAGGCTGGCTGCTTCACCACTAGTTAAAGTACCTAAGTCAACTGTGGTCACTCAATGCAGACGGAAGACAGACAACCTATGTGACTGCTGATGTATACGCAGGACACAGTATGATTGTCGGTATCATAATAGGAAGGATAAAATATTAAGTTTGTAAATTCGGGTTTATAGGCACGCACTTTGTTGATCCCCTTCTTGCAACAACACGCACACCTGCTGGCAGCTCCATGTGGCCGCTTCCAGTCTTCGTTAATAGGGTCTCTCCTGTTATATCAATAAACAGTATCACTTCACAGTCCTTGCAGTCGAGTTCTCGAGCGTAATCGGTGGCTGAATACTCGTGAAACTGCCGTTTATCTAGATCTCCGAAGACGGCCGTTGTAAAGTGTCGCCATCGGCGTACCTGGAAAGATGAGCAGAGAGCTTACTACCGTCCTAGGGGAAAACCCCTTACTAGATCAGCAGTTGCTAGATCAGCTGCTGTAGTTTCAGCTGTTGCCATATTACTCTAAGGAGAGCTTGGTGAGAATTCTTGCGATTGCCCGAACGCAACAGCACTGCGCGGATCCACCATCTTTTAACTATGTTGCGGGGTTTATCCATACCGACGATAATAATAAGCGTGGATAGTCAGGTAACCTAAGACATGGCGTCGTTTTATGATGCCGAATGACGCGGATATATAAAGTGGCCACTTATCCCTTATAGCTTTATCTAATATAAGGCTGGTTTCCTTATTATCTTCGCTTTCTATTATTCCTCTGTGAGCTGTGTTAGCTGCGCTGCTGTCTTATGTAACCATACAGACGCTCCATAGTTATGAGCTAAATTGCTTCTCTACAGGTCCTAGGTAACTCCCAGGCTACTCCCACAGAAGGCGCAGTAGAACCAACGGAACTCATCTTCACCTCTACAGAAGCCAGCTACTCAGAAGCCCTACTCTTCTACAGAACTGGGGGGATGTATAAGACTTAGGGCAAGTGCTCACCACTTTTGCTTACACACATAGTAAATGTGTGATAGCTTCCCTGTATTAGTGGGTAGCTAGCATTGCCTGGCGCCGATTCCAGTCAACAAATATATAGCAAGATATTTCCATATAAAAACAATCAAATCATTTCTGGCTGTGACCGTCTTTGTACATTCATAGCTGACAAGTCTCATCATCACCATCGCTAATGACCTCGACGCCATCTCGTCGAGTGTCAGGCACGTCCGACACCTGACCACAATCGGCAACTTGTACAGACGGAGTACATTCTTGAATAGTTGAACGGCTTTCAGAGAAAATATATTTTTAAATTAGTCCATATTTTCAATTTCTTTTCAATTCACGCCCTCTCCCAAACTATATATTCGCCGCGCTCGACTCGGCCCATGAAACTTCTGCTATTTTTCTATACTTTTCCTACGGCGCACCCGCAAATATTATCTTGTTGGCATTGAGTTATTATATCTTGTTGGCATTGTTTGCCAACCACCGGCCAGACTTGCCGCGCGCTAGCAAAGCTTCGCTTATTTTTTTAGAGTATATTGTCAAGTCCGTTGGTCACATACTGTGGCCGCGTCTTGTGTTTTTCCATGTACCCGCGCTTCTTATGACCACAATACCTGCCACTCTTCTGCTAGCAGCCTTACTATGGTTGGAACTCTGCTGCGACCAAAGTCAAGAACTGTATCGAGATAGACTTTGCAGTGGCAAGATGGCAGAAATTCTGGTCTGCAATAGCGCGTCTATATAGGTAAAACCACGACTCCCTCCCAATGGCATCGATCCAACCTGGATCCAATTCCCATATTCCATCTCCCTCACAGATACCTCTACTCCAAGATCAATCCTGCTCAGCCTACTTCTACCCTCAATCAGAAACTGGACAGACAACCAACCAATCAACGCAATCATGGTTCGCCCGGTCAACACCGTGTACCGAAACACCATGGAAGTGAGCAACGAGATTGAGTACTTTGGCCCTGCAGAGTTTCCTATGCGCAGAGCAAAGACACAAACCCGGCAGCACGAGATTCGCCATGCAGAAGATATCGAGTTCCTCCGCCAAATTCGACATGATCTCCGCCGATGTGGTCAGGGTAGCTACAGCCTTGACGACCTTGGCAAATTCCTTCGCCACTACAACCTCGTGGTTTACTCGTCCATCAACGACGCCGAACTCATCTACCAGTCCGAGTGTCGCGCCATCAGGGAAGGTTTCCTTTCCCAGCGAGCTAGTGGCTCCTTCTTTTGCCACCTCAAAGCCAAACACGAAGCCCGTGCAAGCGAGAACGCTCTCCTCAGCAAGGCGGCCAGTGCTTTTGAACTTGAAAAGGCCGAGCTTCTCGAGGCCAAGGAGCTCATGTACCGCCAGCTCATCATGAATGCTTTTCTCACCTGCGAGCTCAGCTGGGATACGCAACGATACGCCATCAACGGCGTCCGCCAGGGTAGCCTGAGTGACAAGCCAATCGAAGGGCCTCATCTCAAGAAGGACCCCGAAGACAGCCTGGGTGGCCTCTATCGCCTCCAACTCACCTGGGTCCCCGCCCCCAATGCCACAAGATATCCGGCCCGCATCTATATCGACCGCCTCGCGAGTGGAAAGTTCGCGACGGAGCACATTGCTTGGAGAAGCTACGACCGCGGCGATAATGGCTGGGAAAGCCACCCCCATCTAGCCCCGACCGTCCTCATTGAGGCCAGCATTCGCTGCCGCCATGTCGCAGGGAGCCAGCGCCAGGATCGCTTCCTGGCGGAGCTCCACGAGATGGCTGAAGCGGAATACAAGAAATCACTTCGTCCTTGGCAGAGACTGGTCTACAAAACTGGTGACTACCAGAGAGCTTATTCTTTTCCCATTCAGCCTACTTCCATCCGGCCTCAAACAATCAGTACCCTTCAAAAGAAAACACTAAAAAAATCGGAAAACACTACCAGGAAATTGAGCGCGTGTTTTCGGAAAGACTTTTGAACAGTCTCATAGTACAATATCTGTACGGCACTGTACAAGATAAAGGATGGCGTCTCCCTGTATGATCGGGACTTAGAAGCGGAATATAGACTAGCATTGTTTTGTATAAATGAGGACTTTACCGCTACCTTTTGTCTCTTGTAAACGTGGAAAATCATTACGTTGTCGCAGTATGTACCTGCAATGAAGGCATAAAATTGTTTCAGAAAAAGACCAGGCCCATTGCCTCATTGTTTATTTACGCGTCAACCGTACCACCTCATGCCCATTCCAGCTTGACCTTGACTCCATGCTTGCACGTAATGGCCAGGGCAAAGAGCTCCTCCCAGTCTCGGCTCTCTCGCGAGTCCATAGTCCGAAAGGTCTGTACCATGCGCGCCACCAAGTACTGCGACTCGAGCAGCGCAATCTGCTCTGTGCACCACCCGCGTTAGCTCATCTATTCGAAACTCGACGGGGTTTGTCCCTCCCCGTGCCAATTTGGTAATGAACTCACGGCCTAGGCAGATGCGTGGTCCGCCATTGAATGGGAGATAAGCCCAGCCGGGGCGCAGGCCAGCCCACCGATCGGGGCGGAACTTGTCCGCGTCGGCACCAAAGACGGCCTCGTCTCTGTGCATCGCGAAGACGTTGTAGACGACAAAGGTGCCCTTTGGTACCAGCAGTGGCTCGGTGCCGTCCTTGCCGCCCCCGGCGGGCAACGTCGTGTCGCGTGTGGCCTCTCGTGCATTGGTGGGTATCACAGGATGCAGGCGGAGTGCTACTCGGCTTGTCAGCGCAAATGCTTCTTGGTCCTGGGGCGATCGCTCCAAAGGAGGAGCATCTAGAGGCCAGGGAGTTTTGTCTCGCTCTGTTCTCTTTGTTTACACACAGGGTGTGGTCGCACACAACTTACATTCCTGAACGCACCGACAAAGGTACACCATCTGCTTCAGCTGCTCTGGCGAGGGTGGCGCATCGCCACACACGCCGCGCACTTCCTGTCTCAGCGTCTCGTACATGGCAGGCTCCTTGGCCAGCATGAAGAACAAGTTGCAGAGCAGACTGGCCGTGGTGTCGCGGCTCGCCAACAACAGGTGCAGCATCTGGTCTCGCAGGACTTTGCGGTCTTGCGTGACAGCGGCAAGCTTGGTCAGCACGTTGAGCTCCGGCGACTCGCCTGCATCTGTGTTCTGCAGGGCGTCGTCGATGAAGTCATCCATGTACCGGAAGACGCGCTTCTTGGCCTGCTCCGCGGCGCGGTTGTAGCGCAGGATTTGGAGCGGGCCAAGACACATCTTCTTGATGACCTCTTCCGAGCATATGGTGTAGTCTTCAAAAAACTGCCACTCTTTCTCGTGCGACTTGGTCTTGTCCAGCATGTGAGAGGACGTTGCGGTGAGGAACTCGGTGGCAAAGTCCATGGTCAGGGCAAAATACAGGGGCTGCAAGTCCACCTCGTCTCCATTCTGTGGGATGTGGTGCAGTAAGCTCTGGAAGTGGTCTTCGAGCATCGCCGTCACGGCCACTTTGTCTCTGTTGGCGAAGCAGGGCCGCAGCAGGGCCCTGGTGTGCGACCAAGGCGCACCATTGACGCTGAAGATGCCGGTTCCCAGAAGCGTAGAGATGGCGTCACGACGCAGCTTGGGAAGCTCAAAGTCATGAAAGGACGTGGCAAGTAGGGTTTTGATGTTTTGGCTGTCGTTGGTAAAGATGGTCTCCCAGACGCAACTCTTCATAGAGTACGTGGAACCAAACTGCTTAAACAGTCTGCATGTGGAGGTGAGATAGTTGTCCTCTCTTTTGCGAAAGATAATGTCATAGATAAAATCAAGGCCAAAAAATCCATCTTTGATAGGGCCTGTAGGGCAGGTAGTTTGGCAGTGCTTGCTCCGTCTTACACTGAAGTGTCGCAAGAGTAACGAGTAGACAAGGTGAAGGACGGCTGGCGCGAGCAGTAGCATGAAGACGGCTGTGACGATGCCCATTTTTTCTGTAAATATAGTAGTTTAAATGTAAAAGAAATGACAAAATGTACTTGGAGAACATTCATAACAATATCCAGTGCTGCTTCCCGGCGTCTAATATATACCATTTATTACCCGTCCTGTTCATCCCTTCCTCTTCGACCACATGCCTATCCCGGAACTGGCACCGGTCAATAAACTCTCCATAACATCATAACTTTGCTCTGCTTTCAATCCGGGCCCCATGTTCGTGTCTTGTTCACCATGACAGAATTTCCAAAAATATGACGGACGAATCAACGGCCCTTGCCCGCCCTCCCCCGACCCTCGGACGCTGCATTTTATTGCCCCGTCAGCTGGGGTCAAACAAATGGTCATCGCAGCGGCTATTTGCATCCCGTCATGTTTTACAAGCAGTCCTAGTACTGGAGTGTCCGATCCTGCGGGCGTAGCTTTGCCTGTGGCATGCTCGAGTTGAGATCCGCTGTCTTCCCATCTGGTCCTTCCCCAGGAGCAACCGAGCGCCTGGTTCGTGCACCTTCCCATAGCGTATTGTGTGGCGCTGAAGATAGTTAACACCGTGCTGTGTCTCATATCTGATCCCCGGGTGGGATCTGCGCTCGGCGTCCAGCGATTCGGCGGGCTAGGTGTGCGGTAACTTGCAAGTCACCGAGGCAGGTTTCCAATTACTTTAGTACTGTCTCTACGGGACTAGGCTTAAACACGGTCCTGTTCTACTGCAGTCAGAGCCATATACAAGAGCCTACTCATGACACCATGGATGAGCTCGAACAGGCTCTTCCTCCGTCAGGGTTCCTGTCCTTGTCAGCATCTTCGTTCTCGCACGACGCCCCCTTCGATCTCCGTTTTGCGACGTTCTTTACAGAATCGACATATTCCTTCAGCACTGTCCGTCTATATTTCATTGTCAACAGCTGGGCATGACCGATCTCTCCTCGTATTGCTTGTGGATCAACGGTTAGGCGCAGTGTCCCAGAACCACGGGCCTGGGTTAACTTCTGATCTCACTGACTGGGGTTGTGTTTGCTCAATATTGATTTGATTGCCGTCAGCTTTGCCTTTCCAGGTCGACGCGCGCCGCTGGCGAAGCAGCGCCTCGGGTGAACTGCATGTGCTGTGTTGCGCAGCTACTCGCGCATCCGAACCAGCGGGAGAGCCTTGAGACACTGGCTCGAGCTCAGTATTTGCCTCCAAGTTATCCGAACTTGTGTCTCCGTTACGGCTTGTAGCACTAGATGAAGTAGCTACCCGCATAAGACTAAGATGGACCATTGTCTTACTCGTTGGGGCTCTCTATGACGCCCTGGTGATCTGGGTGGCCAGATGTTAGCCGGCCCCTACATTGCCTAATTGTGCCCTGTGTCACATAGTCTCGCTGACCGATGTGGCACAATCTGCGACCAATTTAGCTGGAGCCATGTGTGTTGTACCGTTGGTTGTTCCACACGATCCAGATATAGGCCTGTACAATGACAAGTAATGAACTCGAGGGGCTATTGTTGTGCTAGCAGACGGAATAGCTGGGGCCAGTTGGTCGAGCCAGAAATTACAGTGATGGCGTCTCGGCAGCCTTCAAGACAGTAGCAACTGATTGCCCTGTTGCCGTGTTTTACAGATGATTGCGACAAGTGATTGCGCTGCCGTGTTTAGTACAGCAACTGATTGCGCTGCCGTATTTAGCGCATCAGATACCCGAAACAACTAAATCGCTTCCTACATTTGGACTTACTGCTCTGTTCTTCATTATATAGCTTAACGACTCCCCTATAGTTTGATAGAGAATGACAAGCATAATACGTGTCACACCCTGCATCCCACACACCTAGAATCCAATCTCTGAGCTTGAATCGGGTGTCTTGTAACGTGACTATACAGGATAGGAAATCTGTCTGCATTGTTTACTTGTCTCTATTTTTGTACTGTATTGACCCGTCGTTCCTCCGCCATCTGATCTCTTCAGACTCGTCCCATCAAGAGCTGCACTCTGTCAGTTGCCGATTTCTTTTCCGCATCAATTTTCAGTCATTTTCTCTTGCCAAACTGAACCTGCTTAACATGTCAGCAATGGAGTCTTGTGTACCTGCACCACCCGTCACCGCGAAATCCGACCTGGCGGAGATCCATGGAGGTCCCGCCACTGGATTTGGACAGCTGCTCTGGCACATGTTCCTTGCCACCGCTACAAAGTATCCCGGGAGGGATGCTATTGTAGCCATCAATGAAGAGGCAGGCCTCCCTGAAACTAGTTCCGAAGCCCCAGTCCAGCGCTGGAGCTACCGAGAGCTCCTGTCCAAAGTCGATGCCGTTGCCCACCGGCTTGGCCATCTCAGCTGCGGCGGCAATGGCAACACGCTGGTTGTCATTACCAGAAATATTGCAGAATGGGGCTTGTTCTTCTGGGTTGCTGCAAAACTCGGCATGACATTCATTCCATTGGATCCCGGCGCCAAAGGCGACCTCTCCTTCCTGCTGTCCGCCTCCTCCCCCCAGCTGCTTTTCGTCGAAGACGAAGCGATGGCTCAAGCAGTGGAGGACTGGGTCGTCCAAACCAAGAGCTCGGTTCAGGCCCAGATAATTCTCTCTGATACTGCCAGAGCTGGCTGGCTATCCCTCGTGCAGATTGAGGCCGAAACGCACCGGCTATGCCTGAAGAAGTGCCAGTTTGACGACCTACGAGCGAACAACACAGACAGCAACGCCCTCATTATATTCACGAGCGGCACGACCGGAACGCCCAAGGCTTGCCTCCATACCCACGACAATCTGGTATCCCAGACGCACGATTACGACCCTAACCCGGATCCTGAATTCGTGGATCGTTGGCTGATTCACACTCCGGTGCATCACATCTTCGCCATTAACAATGCGCTGCGTGCCTGGCGCTTGGGCGGCGCCGTCATCCTCCCGTCGCCGACCTTTAGCGTCCGGGCCAGCCTCGGCGCAGTCGTCCGCGAGCGGTGCACAATCATGTCTGCCACGCCGACCCTGATCCGCGCCATGCTGGCCGAGAGCAGCTGCCCCGACGTCAGCGAGTTCAACCTCTCCATCATATCACTCGCGAGCACGGTGATTTCCCCAGAGGACATCCGGCTCTGCAAGCAATCACTCGGCTGCCGCCACGCCATCCAGGCATACGGCATGAGCGAGACCGGCCCGGTCGTCAGCTGGTCCAGGCAGGAGCCTCTCTTGGTAGACGGCTTCCACCCCGGCGTGGGCAAGGTCCTTCCTGGCGCATCGATTCGCGTCTGTCAACCCGGGACACGCGACATTTTGTGTATCGGCGACGTAGGAGAGCTTCACGTTTCAGGCTCCTCTGTCATTGATAGTTATCTGGATCCGGGATCCAATGGCAGCTTCTACGTGGAAGGCGAGCGTCGTTGGCTCGTCACGGGTGACCAAGCGCGGATTGACGAGGACGGCGTCGTATACATCCTCGGCCGCTACAAGGACTTGATCATTCGCGGTGGGGAGAAGATTGATCCCGCTACAATCGAGAGCGCAATTTCGGCCTTGCCCAAAATTGAAGTACAAGTCGTTGGTCAGGCAGACAAGATTGCAGGTGAAGTCCCTGTGGCCATAGTGAAACGAACCAAGGATACCTCAAACAGTTCAATTTTTGAAAAGGCGCGCAGTCTTGGCACCAAGTACACGCTTGGTGCCATCTACGACCTCTCGCAGCTTGGCTATGAGGAGATGCCTGTCACGTCCCTCAAGAAACCCCGGAGACAACTTCTCAAGGCTGCTCTCACCAAGTTCATTGAGGAGAGGGAGAATCAGAAGGCGCGACAAGAACAGGACCAAGATGTCACTCCCGAGCAATCCGTCGTGGCAGAGAAACTTGCTGCTTTGCTGGAAGAGCTCTGTGGTGTGCGACCACAGCCGCGACAGAGCGTGGATACATTCACCGACAGCATATTGCTGCTGCAATACTGCGATCGAGTATTTCGCTTCCTTCACGTTCCGTTGTATCTGCAAGACTTGACTGAGAACAAGGACATTCTCTCTCAGGCCGCACTAGTCCTTCAGAGGCGTTCTGGCAAACCTTTGATACATGCCAAGCCCCCTATGGCTTCCTATGGTGGCCAAAATGTCCCTCGAGAGAGGCTTTCTCTCAAGGTTGACTGTCGTGTAGAGACTTGTTCGACTGTTGCGTCGGCGCTGCCTACTGGTGTAATGCCAGAGTCGGTGATGCCGCTTCGCGCCAGCCAATACCGCCTGGTAGAAGGCCAGCGCCCGCAATCTTACCACATCCGCCTGGGCTATCGCATCCAGCAGCTATCCGGCGCGCAAATTATGGAGAGGTTACAGATTCTGGTATCCAAGACACCATTGCTCCGGTCCCTCCTGGTCAAGGAAGCAGCCGCAAGTTGGCAGCACGTCGTCTGTGGCGACAGTCTTGCCAGCAACCTCTTGCACAAGCGGGATGCTCCGACGGAAGACGAGGCCAAACGCGGCCTCATGCGGGAGTCTCTATCCGCCCTGCAGCGTCCCTACGCGTTTCGCGCCGACCTCATCCGCTGCCGCGACACCGACAGCCACGTTCTCGTCCTGCACTTCAACCACGCCATCGTCGACGCCCTCTCTCTCTGGTCCACGCTGCGAAACCTCGACGACCTCCTACGGGACCCCGCCGCCCAGCTACCTGACGCGGTCCCGTACCGCCTCTGGGCCGATCTGTGGCAGCAGAACCGCCGCAACGAGCTCGCGCGCGCCGCCGTCGCCCATCTCGCAGGCCGTCTCCGCGGCATCTCGCGCTTCCCGGGGGCTCTGTGGCCGCCGCAGCGCTCCGCCGGGTGGATGGTCGGCGACGACAGCGGCGCGGCGTCGCAGCTCGTCGCCGCACGCACCACTGGCCGGGACGCGGTATGGAACGGTGGCGGCGGCGGCAGCAGCAGTGCATCGCCGTGGGCCGCCGACGAGTTTCGGTTCCCGCGACGCGGACGCATCGTGCGGCTGCCGCACCTTTCCGCGCTGCGTGCCGCGCACGGCATCGCGCCCGAGGTGCTGGCGCGGTGCGCGCTCGTGCTGCTCAACGTGGCGCAGACGCGCGCGCCGTACGCCGTCTTCGCGAGCTGGGAGGCGGCGCGCGCCTGGCCGTTTGTGCCCGCGTGGATGCAGGCGCACCTCCCGCCGGCCATGGCCGTCGACGGACCGACGACGCAGTGGCGGCTCAACATGTACGCCGCGCCCGCGGCGGCGAGCGAGACGGTGCTGGCGTTTCTTCAGCGCATGAGAGATGACGAGGCCGCGCTCGCCGAGCACGGCCACGCCCCGTGGGACGACGTCAAGGCCGCGCTGGGCGACGACGAGGCCGGCGTCGCGGAGGACGCCTCATTCCGGCAGGGCTTCGTGTGGGACATGACGCTGGGCATGTCGGCGCAGAGCAGCAGGCGTCACACAAGCTACAGCATCTTGGAGCCCATCAGTCGTCACGACTGGCCAGACTGGTAAGTACCTCTCTCTCCCCTGATCGCTACTCGTCGCGGTACACTTGTGCGGGGGGCGTGTCGCCTCGCTTCCCGTGTTACACTCGAAACACACAAAAAAGTCTTCTCTTGTTGGGCCGCTCTAACATGACTCTTCTTTTCTTAGTGGAATCTTCTGGAACGCATTCATGGTTGATCAGGAAAACATGTACTTCATTGCCTCGTGGGACACTGCGCAGTTGAACGGCGACGAGGTCGACGGCTATTGTGATTGTCTGGCCGAGATGTTGAGGCAGCTGGCGAACACGAGCAACTGGAATCGCCTGTTGAGGGATGTGTTACCCCTCCTGTAACTGATGTTTGTGTAATGGTGAAAGCGAGGTACGCGTATGATAGCTCTAGATTCCACGTACTTATAAAGCCCGTACGCTTTGACTTGGGCATCAGACGGGCGTGATTCATTCACACAGTCTGACAGAAATGCCTACACCCAATCAGTGATTTTGCCAAACATATATAGTCGTCACCATGTCTTTGCACCTGTAATGCAATACATGGAAATACTGTACTTTTCCACACAGAGTCTTTACCACGAAGCAACACTATACCGTAGCCTCGCATCAGCATGCCTCCAGGCAAAAACTCGAGCAAAGCTGGCTCTTCCTCCTCACGCACTGCTCTCCCCAGCTCGCTCCCCAGCTCGAACAGGTCGCGTTCAACCCGAGCTTCTGTTTCAGCTACACCTGCACAGCACCCGCCTCAGCATCGTGCTTCGAGCTCTGCCCGACCACTACGTGCGCTCGCCCCGAAACCACGTCCGTCGCCGTCGACGCCGCCGCCGCCTTCCACCGACCAGTCCGACGACGATGAGCCTACAAGGGGGGGGAAGTCTCTGATATGGCCCGCCAACAGCCCGCCCCAGCGTCCGCGTTCGCGTCTTGGTGAGCTGCCGCCAATGGCTCCCTGCTCGCCCCCTTCACCCTCGCCCCAGAGGCGCTTGCTCGACCATCGAGTCGGCATTTCTTCGCCCAGGGATACGTCTTGGTTCAATCATCAACCAACGACCATCTCTCCGGAATTGCTGTGTCTGACGCCAGAGCAGCGCCGGGCCGACGCCCAGGCCAGTGAAGAGCGAGCCGCTCTCTCTGCCACACCAGTGCGTCCACCCGTCGCGCGCCGATCGGGCGCTCGTCTGGGTCGTCCGCCTCGTCAGCAAGCCTTCTCGCAGTCTGCTCGGCCGATGCGTGCCCTCGCTCCTCGACTAGCTTCCTCGTCCTCGCCGCAGGTTGTCGAGCCGTCCTCAGCGCATCGCTCACCTCTGGAACGTCTCCGGCTGTACCCCTCACGCGCGGACCTCCTGACGCCCAGTCCTCCCGCCGCGCCGCTGCGATCCGCCACGGCCCTGCCCAGCCTTCGCCTCGGGCACCACTTTTGGGGCCCGGCCGCTCGGGAGCTCGTGCCGTGCGACAAGGAGGGCACCATACGCGCCGAGTACAAGCGCGAGCGCATCGACGAGGTCGAGGCGATGCGCCGACGCGGCGACGACCCGCCGTACTGGACGGTGCAACACATTCAGGAGGTGTGCGCCGACGTGCACCGCATGTCCCGTGAGGCCCGTGCCGGCTTCGGCGACCTGCACAAGCAGCTGCGCGAACTCTACGACTTGCACGCGCACGTCGCGGGCCTGTACCCGCCGGCGGGACGCCACCCGGACGACCTGGTGTCGGTGACGAGCGGCCGCGGCGTCACGACGGCGCTGCCACGCATTCTGCGCGACTTCATCGACGGCATGAGCGAGCACCTGCTCGCCAAGTGGCAGCCGTTTGGGCGCGCCCGGCCCGAGTGGAACGTCGACTCCAAGATTGCCTTTCTCGAAGATTTTAGCTGTTTTTTGCGGTTTCACAACAAATTTTACGGGCAGCGGGTCATCTTGATGCAAGCCCCCGAAGCGCCTGGGTGGCAGGAACAGCGCGGGTTGCAGTTCTGGCCGAATATTCCGTTTCGCGGCTATCAGGAGAGGAGGGATAACGGCGTTACGAGCGAGGAACGGTCGCGGGATTCTTTTGTGGACTGTTTTTGGGATACTTAGAACGTCGAGAGAGAGCGCTGAGATCTGGGACAAAGCCTGGAGGGAGGGTCAGTATTAGTAACCAGGTTAATAGAGACTGCGAGGCAGAAAACAGACCCTGAAGATTAGACCCTGGAGTTGTCCATTTCACACAAGTCCAGTATTTAATAATTCAAGGATGGTCGCTAATATCACTGACTGGAATTCCTTCCCCCGCCAATATCATAGTACATAGCGAGGCCACACTTGTCATTGACAGATACTCGATGCATTTATTATTCCTCGACTCTACAACCACATATTAGTCAACATGTTCGAGTCCATAGTATGACGTACAATATACATAGAAACAAATATAGATTTCATGTCTCATTCGAGATTCATTCTAGCATCATCACCGATGCCCCATTGACCACCATCTTTGCCTTGTCGTTGAAGCTCCATTTCTACCTCGATGCCCAAGCCACTCGTGTCCGGTCCGCTGTCTTGTCTTTCGGTTGCCCGCTTTCCGCGAGCTTCTCTCTTTTCCCTTTCCCTCTCCTTGTCGGCGGCAGATCGGTCTGTGGCGCGCTTCCGCAGCAGAGGCGGCCAAAATGACGATTTCGACGAGGTCGAGTATACTGATGCATTATCGTCAATCAGCTTGACGTTTGCATCGTCAGCCTTTTCCTCTTCGACAATGGTGGGGATATTGGCCAACGAGGCAGAGTCCGACTTGCTGTGCAACGAGGCGCTATCTTTGGCGGCAGCCTGGCGACGATCGGGTTTCTCGACTTCGACAAGCTCGGCATCGCGATGCCACTTGCGTCTTCTGGTCCACTTGCCCCAGCCGTCAACTCCTCGGCGTTCATTGTTCCACTAAGAATTGTTAGGAAATAGAACATCAGCTTTAGTTGTTGATCTTTGTACCTTGGAATCATAGTATAGCCAGCCGGTGCGGCCGGCTGTGCCGTCATAGTCAACAGCCCCATTTTCATCTGCGACACCATCCACGCGCCAGCGACTGCCTTCAGCCCACTGCCACTCCATGCGGCTGCCATCCTCAACGTGCGGCAGCTCAAATTCGTCTTTTGAAGGAAGAGAGTTATTGTGCTCATCCGTCCAGGCAGCCCTTTCGTAAGCGAACAGACTATGCGTCCATCCCAAACCAATCCAGCGTCTCTGGTTTTCGTAGATGATGAACGTAAACTTGACGCCCACACTCTTTGTGCTCCGTGAGCTGTCATTGCGGCGGTGACCGCGATTTTGCGCAGCTTGGAGCTGAGCAGCAGCGGGGTTCTTTACAGGGGGGTCGAAACGAAGGCCAGTAACGGCAGCAGCAAAACGACGGACAGTCCGGCTTCGCCAGAGGATAGCTCTGCATACACGCATTACGCGAGCGTGCCAGGTAATTGCGATGGTGCCAACAATGAGGACCACTCTTCGGACGGTAATTATTCTCAAAGGCGGCATAGTAAGCGCAAACCAGAACGGAGTGACAATGAGGAGGCGCATAAACATGGCGGTCAAGGCAGGCTTCGTGGTAGCACTGGTGGCAGTGCGCTGGGTGCTGAGAAAATCCGTCATTTCGAGCATTGGTTCCATGAGAGCGTTGCAGCGACCAGTAAACTCTTTCAAGGTCTCGACAATCTCGTCCAGTGTCTTTTGGTGTTTTGTGCTGCCATCGTCTTTCTTGCTAGATTTGCCCGCCGCACGCGAACTGCTAGCGTCGGCGTCGGCATTCGAAAACTGCGCTGTAGTTGGCGCCTTCTTCTTGTTGGGCTTGCCAGGTTTGCGCCAGCCGCTGCTACTAAGAGGGCTGTAGCGGCGACCGTACATGGCAATGATCATGCCGATGCCGACTGCGATGGGGCCGGCCCTCATTAAAATGGTGTCGCCATATATGACGACAAACCAAAAGCTGCAAACAAATAGGAAGCTTTGCCATGGGTCGCCGGTACTCCATGTCAAGAGACCAACAAATGTGTTGAGCGGTAGGAGAAACGGGTGGCTATATGCGAGAGCTCGAGTGATCTGGGGTGGTGTGGCCAGCAGGAGCGGGCTTTTTTGGTGAACGAGGACGGTTGAACGACGGGACGATCTCGAGGGTGTGTTTGCAGAAAGCGTAACGGGAGAAAATGCGGCGTATGTAGGAGGAGCTACGAAGCTCTCATCCAACAGAGCGGGTGAGCCGTCGACGACGGATTCGTCGTCGTAGGCGGACATGGCTCCGGCGGGCGGCCAGTGCGGCTCCTGAGATTGAGGGGAGTTGTGTTAGCGGCTGAGGTTGCAAGAGGCGGTATGCGAAGTCGAGCTGCGAGCGACTGCAAGGCTTCACTTGTAAGCAGGATTGCGGGTGGGAAGCGCGCGCCAGGGAGCTCGGCTATAAGCAATCACAGGGCAGGCAGCAAGCTCCAGCGCTGGCTCTTCAATCGCATCCAGACGCAGAAAAGCAAGAATACAAGAGAAGAAAATTGAGGATGTTGAAATCACCAGTACCCAAGAATAAAAGGGCGCAGCGATCTCGAGTGCCAGTGGTGCAGCAGCGTTGCAAGGATAACTCACAAAGGCAGCCATTCAGAAGGGCTGGCAGTGGTCAGGCGCAGAAATCTCAGGACGTCATCGGCGCGCGCCACCAGGGTTACGGCAAAGACGTTGCGGGAGGGGTGGGGAGGGCAAGGGCCAGGCGAGGCAGCAGTTGCAAGAGGTTGCAAGAGTGCATGAAGCTGTCGCAGAGTTGGTAGAAGAAGTGCGCGAGCTCGGAGGAGCAAAAGGAAGCTCCATAGAAAAAGAGTCTGGGGAAAAGGGCGGTTGTCATCAAGCACGGGACAAAGGGTTGACCCTGGAGGCCGTGGCTGATGAGTGGCGGGCGTCAAGAATGAAGACGAGGCTGGCAGACGCAGCAAACAGGCCACCAGACAAACGGACCGGAGCTGGCAGCTGGCAGCTGGCCGTGGCAATGGCCAAGTGGCAGCTAGCAAAAATTGTGTTTGAGCCGAGGCCAAACTAAGCTGCGGGGATGGGGGGGAAAGGTAAAATTATTTAGGCGCTATGCCACGGGCGACACACGTGAGCGTCTGTCTGGTGCTGCCACTGCAGGTCGAGGATGGATCATTTCGCGGTGGTCAATTTGCCAGAACGACTCGAGGCCGAGCCAGTAAAAGACGAGGAATTGGGAATTTTGGCGGTGCAGAATGGCAGACGCCACTAGTTACTAAACTTGCAGCCGTCTTGTGCCGCGGGTTACTTGGTGGCATGTATGCACTGGTACTGTACGTACTGTACAATGGCTGGCATGTGATGACACACAACAAGTCGTTTATTTGGGCAAAAAAAGGAAGAGAACAAGATAAAAATAAAAGGGAAGAAAAGCAGAAGACGAGTATTTGCAATAATGCTGAACAAGAAACCAATCAAAAAACCGGCAAGAAAAGGCCTGGTCTGCAACCAGAACACAAAGCCACGCAGAGCAACAGTACTGATCCAGCCACAGCACTGAGCCACAGCACAGAGCCACAGCACAGAGCCACAGCACAGAGCCACAGCACAGAGCCACAGCACAGAGCCACAGCACAAGGCAACATGTACAATGCGTGGCGGTGCTTGTTGGCGAGTGTATCTTGCACTTGACACTGACATCTCACAGTGTACGCATTCGTACGCATCAGCTTCTTGGTAGAAATGTATTTTATTTGTTTATTTCTCCTTTATGTAAACCTCGGCTGCCCATCTCAGACAGTTCAGTCATTGTCTCATCATCGTCGTAACTCGTCCCCTGTTGGTAGCAAAGGCTGTTGTATTTATTTGCAGCCAGTGCAGGTGCCTAATATCAAGTCAGTTGTCAGGTACTCAACGGTGCATTTTCAAAGACTCAACACATACAGCTAGAGCCGCAGTTGCAGGCCGAGGCAGAGCCATTGCATCCACAGTTGCCGTTCATGTTGAAGGTTGGTTGGGGTTGAGGTGGTAAGAGGAGAGTCTTGGTAGAAAAAAATGGTGTATATAAAATCGAGATTGTATCGTGAGCTTAATGAACCGAGATCTTGAAGCAACCCAAGGCGACCTCGACGCCCATTTATATACCAGCCTTTGCGTCTTTTGTGCGTCGCCCGAGTTCCGACCGCCCGACAAAAGGTGTTGCGTTGTTTTCGCGGTGGCGGCGGGCGACGACCCACGTCACCGAAAAACTTTAACCTGTTTCAGTCGGTCCCTCGCCAAGGGAACACGGCAGAGGCGCAAGCAAGCAAGGAATCACTGCCCTAGGACAAGACGCGAAAAGGCGCCCCCGTCAGTCATGTCTGGAACTGCCTAACTCGACTGCGGCTGACAATCACAGCTCATCAGCTGGCTTTGGCTGGTTGCGGCGCGAGGAGCCGTTCGCGTGGCCGGGCCGTCAGAACAGAATCAGCTTGGAACTTGCGGCCATTGTGCGTAAAACGATGCAACTGGTATCTATCAACTTCTAGAAGTACCCAGTTCTGTCCGTCCGAATATAGCAGGCCTACGCTTGTACAAAATCAACGGAAAAAATCAATAATATCCAAGCTAAAAACCCCAGGTTCCTCAGGCCACACTCTTCTCGCCCTTTGGTGCCATCTCCCGCTGGTGGTCCCGCGATCTTCCCTTCCGCAACATCCTCCACCTCCGCCTGCCAATCCATCGACGCCAGACAAAGACAGCCACACTCAGCCCGAGACCCGGTAGCACCAGCCGGCCATGCTCCCCCAATAACACACTCTGCTTCCACCACGACGGCAGCGGCGGCAGCGGCGGCGACACACCGCTACCACCCTCGTCCTTCACAGCCAAGTCCTGCACCCGCTGCTGCTGCGTCGACCACGTCCCGCTCGCGCCCTCGCTCCAAATCAGCGCCGAACGCACCAGCACCACGCCGCGGTCGTCGACACCAATCACCTCGATGACCTCGCCGACGTCGCGCGGGATCGGGATGCGCGTCTCGAACCCCGTCCGCTCCACCACGCGCCGCGCCCCGAGGCTGCCGTCGCGCCGCTCCGTGTTGTTGCTGCGCAGCAGCCACGTCGTCGTCTGCGTGTCGCCGTTCCAGCTCACGTACAGCGCGCTCTCCTGCGGTCGCACCACCACCACGGGCGGCGCCGCCGGCGTGCCCGTCCACGCGTACTTGGACACGACGCGCCCTCCCAGGCGTGGCGGGCGAGGGGTCATCCGAAACCTGGCCGAGGCCCTAGACGGCGCCCCCGGGAAGCGTGCGGCGCACAGCGTCTCGCCTTGGGCCGAATACTCGGTGTACGCGGCGGCCGACGGGTCGCGCTCGCCCCAGCCCACAAAGACGTGCCCGCTGGGGAGACGCTGCAGACTGCCCTGGGATCGGCTTGATGCCACGGCCACGGGCGTGCTGTAGATGCGCACCACGGCGGCGGTATTGGTCGTTGTGTCGAGATGCATCATGCGTGCGTTGCTCCGCCGTCCGGGGCGGCCCTCGACTTTGGCCACATGGCCGCCGTCCAGCAGCAGCAGTGTCGAGTCGCCATGCCACTGGACCCCCTGGCTGGCAATCATGGCCGTCGCTTGTCCCGCAGAACCGTCCTCGAAAGAGTTGAGGCTGCCGCCGAGCACCCATAGCACCTTTCCATCGCTGCGACGTAGTGCGGCGGCGTTGCACATGTTGCGTGACGAAATGACGTAGTTGCCGTTATGGTCAAGATCGATGCCCGTCGCGTGGAAAAAGTCGAATGCTGTCTCGGGAGTGCCGCCTCGGTTCTGGATACCAGCCTGGCTCACGGTGGCATCAAAATGATCCGAGGCTCTCCATTCAGAGATAAGCTCGTTCGACATCAAGTCGACCTCTTGGATGATTGCGTCGTCGATCCACCCACTCTGTAAGCCCCCGAACGGCGTGTGAATCTGCGTGACACTGTGCATCACCATAATCGCCGTCCCGTCATCTGTCAGCTTGAGCTCGACTGGCCGTGACGAGATGTCGCCAATCGGTCTAAGCTCTCGGACCATTTCGTAGGTTTGGTCGAGCTGCCAAAGTTGACGCCCCGAGTTAGCTCTTCACACTATCCCGTGGCAAGCACGCCGTGCCAACTTACCACGACAAATGACCCGCCTCCATCATGGCGACTGTTCTCGTCGTGCCAGAATGTCATGTAGCTCCGATTGCCAACCGTCTGCACCTTCAAGTCGTGTGTCCGGCCCCATCCGCTCTGCGTCCACACCAGGTCGCCATTTGTTCGAAAGATGGCTGGACCCTCCACGTTGGCTTGGTGGTCTGCCGCCCCCCCAATCCTCTCCCCAGGCGCGACGAATAACAGCCCATCGTCGCAAGGCCGCTCGCTGTGCCATGTATCCAACTCCGGCGGCGTTGGGCCGCAAAATGTCTTGTATTGTGAGGGTGGACGCGGATTCAGCAAATCTGAGAGGCGGCTGCGTCTGCCGCTGGCTGTCAAACTGTTGCACTCGCTCTTTAAGGTAGCCGACACGCCGACTGCCAGCAGGGCAAATTGTAGAATCCGAGTCGCTGTCCCCATTGTATTCGTGGTCAATATGTCTCACAGCCAGCGTGTCGAACAGATGTCGCTTTCGCAAATTCCTCGTTACTGCTGGGCTGGAGGCATCACGGCTATATTTCAGAAGAATCGAAACGACCACGGCGAGGACAGATCAAACAGTAAAGTGTTACAGGTGGGAAAACTACGATTGGTTCACGTGGTTGCGCACGACCGGGGGAGCCTGGCCAGTTTCAACGTCGTGGGCGCACGTCCATCAAGAAAGGGCAGAAAAGCCAAGTGCATCTTGACAGGACCATGAACCAGAGCAAGGACGTTGAAAAGGCCCCTTTCGAAGCGCAGGCTAGAGACGAGGCAGGCTAGAGATGAGACGTGCGAACCTACCCCTCGGAAACAACGTGCGGCACAGTTGTCGTACCATGGCTTCACCTTTGTGTACTTGCAAACGCACACCGACAGGCCCGACACATGTGTATACCGCCTCACCGAGCCCAAAAAGTCCATGCGCACGTCCACGCCAGCAAGACGCACAGAAGGAATAGTTACATGCTAGCCAGCCTCTTTGCAGCGTGCTCAGCACAAGTGATTTGGACAGGTGACTTTGCCACAGACGACGGGCGGGGTCTGGGGACCGACCGTTCGAAACCCCCCCTGATGAAAGCGGGGATTCACGTGATCTAGATTGCCTTCCCGATATGGCTAGCGTCGAGAGCAAGAAATGGCGTTTGAACTTCAATTGCGGTTCCGCAAGAAACAGCCTATTATTGGCCAGCAATTTGATTGGTGAGTCAGCGTACTGGTAGTTGCTCGCGGGGTGGCTTGGCCGCTACGGTAGTTACCAGCCCGTCTTGCAAGTTGAAATGTAACTCTCATCTGCCAACTGAACGAGACAACAAGACGCTTTGAGAAGCTCGCTATTTTCCGTTTACTTGGCAACTCCAAATGGTCACATTGCGTGGCGTTGTTGATATTACTCTTCACCAACCAAGCTGTGACGTTACTCGACACGCCAACTCTTCTCCCTAGGCCGAACTGGAGCTGGCAAGCTGTCTACGGTTGTAATTAAGACAACACTGGAGGTTCATTCTCTCGGCGGAATGGGCATTCCGTTGCCTGCTGTTTTGGCTGTGCTCGTGTCATAGGAAGTCCTGATCACGACAGTTCCATGGACGCAGCATTATAAGATGGGTCTCTGCGCTCTTTTGACTTTTTCCTCTATGATTGCGCCTTTTTATCTCGTATTGAGGCTTAAACAGGGGAAGCCTTGATGCGTAATCTCCGATCTGCCAAGCGCAACGTGAAGCTCAATGGCCCCCAACCATCACCTTCACCTAAAGCAAGCCAAGCTCTTGTGGCTTGCTTCATACAACACTGCCACCGAGCAATCCCAACTAATATGCCAATCTCAATAGATTAACTCGGATTGCATTACCTGTCATTCGGCGCATGATATAATCTGCACAACTAGCGCGCCACGGTAGACCAGATCAAAAGTTCCCGAATGGACGAGGAACGGCAGCTTCGCGCCAACTCCCTGATACCGTTAGCTTCCTCCAGTAGCCCTTTCAGCCACCAGCTGTCAACATCACATCAAGATCATGCTGTAGAGTTTTCCCCTACGACGTTGTCCATGTATGGGCCTCTTTTGAAATACTCTAGACAGGTTCTGTAGATGCGAGCTGAGCCCGGGTAAAAGCAACTGGAGCCCAGAATGGAGTGACGGTGCCTCACTTCCGCATTTTCCGAATCAGTCAATCCCCACGTGTATAGACGCACAGTCTCGAATAAGTCAGCGGCTTTTGACCACAGTCATGTATGGCTATTAGGGTCTTGGACTTTATCCATCGAGCCGCATGCGCCAAGACGCCAACCCGGAGCCACTGCCTGTAGCGGCGGGGGAACCAATGCGAATTGCGACAGGGCTCTCTGTCCAGATGCCCGATCCGGTTTCTGGCCGGCGACCTCCGGCAGCATATGTTTTAGTTACTTGTTGCTGGCGGTTTTCGGCTCAACGGGAATCCAGACCGCAAGTCACTGCTCAATCGAGCTCTCACTAACTAGTCATAGAAAGCCCTGTTCATCCCAACCGCCTTCACTAGTGAACAATGGGCTCTCTTGCCAATGCCGAAAACAAAAGTTCTTTGTCACAGATTCATGCACCATGGGGACTTGGTGGACAAATGAGAATGCTCTCATCCCGGATTACCAATGCGCATCCCTAGATCCTTGAGTGTTATTGCACGACATCTCCGCTTTCCTGTCGCTCCAACAAGTCAAGATGTGCATCTTGGCACGGATCCCTTTTCGACGGCTCATGTGGGATGGCCGCGCAAATGTTTAGATTGCGTCTATTTCCATTGGCCCAGAGGGACAGACCCGGGTTCGATTGTTCATGCTTCCGGTTATAGTTGTTTCGTCGCCGGGTGGATATTATATTGTGCCTTTTTTTTTGGAATTCTTTGGCACGGATGTCCGCGCGGTGCCACCATCGAGAAAACTCCGCCGCCATTGGATTGCCGAAACCCAATCGCTCAGCCTCGAGGTTGCATCGCGCAACGCAAGCTAACTATGCCGCCGGGAGAAGAACAGACTTGCTTCGATGTTGGCGTCGTGGCACTACGAGTCAGAAGAACATGCCAAGGATTAGACGTTGACCTGCGCTCTACCTGCTGGTTTTTGCCTAGTTCGGGTCATGACATTTTCGTAATGGCCTGGACAAGCTGTAGTATATAAGCTTCGACGAAGCTCCCGTTGAAAATGTCAGAAGGAATAAACACTACCAATCTTTTCAACCTCTTCAACCACCTCACAAAAGCCATGTATACCAACATCCTCTCCCTGGCCCTCGGCCTCGCCTCCGTCCCTCTCGTCGCCGGCCACCCCGGCGAAGACCACCACAAGGAGGCCATGAAGCGCCGCGAGTTCCTCGCCAACAACGTCGCCAACCTGGATCACTGCGCCGGCCAGCTGGAGGCGTCGGGTGTCACAGCGCGCTCCATCCAGCGCCGTCAGAACCTGATCCACGGCATCCGTGAGAAGCGCGGCCTCAACGTCCGCAGCGAGGGCCACGTCGGCCGCAGCTACGACGCCGAGGTGAGCCAGGCGGCCACTTTCAAGAGCAACGCTTCGTGTGTCCTGGCTCCCGAGGAGATTCTCGGTCCTTACTGTACGTTGCCAACACACTGCCATGATTGGGTGTGGCTGCTAATTCATCTTTACAGATGTTGCCGGAGAGTTCATCCGCTCCAACGTTGTCGAGGACCAAGTTGGTGTTCCCGTTCACCTTGACATCTCCTTCATCGATGTCACTACTTGCAAACCCCTTGTCAACTCCTACGCGGATATCTGGCGTATGTTTCTCTCCTCCTTCTCACAAGACCTTCTTGTCGAGCCAGCGCTAACCATTCCGTTTACACAGAGGCCAACTCCACTGGTGTCTACGGCGGTGTCATCCAGGAGGGCTTCGAGGACCGCAACGACAGCTGGGAGGACACCTGGGGCCTGACCTGGCTGCGCGGCATCCAAAAGACCGACAACGATGGCGCCGTGCACTTTGAGACCATCTTCCCCGGCCACTACGAGGGCCGCACTGTGCATATCCACGTGCTGACGCACCCCCACGCCACGCCGCTCCCCAACAACACCATCATCGATGAGCGCGCCTCGCACGTCGGCCAGATGTACTTTGACCAGGACCTCGTCGACCGCGTCGAGACCCTCGCCCCGTACAACACCAACCAGAACCCCAAAACCTCCAACGAAGAGGACGAGTTCCTGCAAGGAGACCTGCAGGCCGGCGGCTACCCCTACCTGCAGTACAAGCTGGTCGGCGACAAGCTCGAGGATGGCCTCGTCGCCTGGCTCAACTTTGGTGTCAACGGCACCCAGGACAAGGTCGTCGACCCCATCACCACCTACCACCCCCGCCCTACCAAGCCGGCCAACGCTTGCGCGTAGGCTGCAGAATGAGATGTAGATTATTGGATATATGTTATAGGATTGCAGATAGCGCAAAAATTGAAGATTTTCCCACCCTCATCTCAAGTATTGTCAATAATATGAGTCGCGCATAAGAAAGTATACGTCCCGGCGCATAGATAACACCAAGTCATTGCATACATGTACTAATGCATACAACAGCATATGACTACATTGAAACAGTCTTCATGCTGAGTAATGGGAAACACTACAGTTAAGCAATGATAATGGGCATAACGAAATGGAGAAAGAACACCGCGATCTGCCCATCATACCTATCGTTGCTCCTCTACATGAGCAACGCGATGCAAAGATGCACTACTGTTGGTAGAACCAGTGAAGGTTATCTTGCACTTGTCCAAAAAATAAATAGTTACACTGTATGGTTTTGACAGGTATAAATTATTGTACATTATACACAGCATGCTCCGGCACACTCCCGCTCGCTCATCGTCCACTCTCGCACCCTAGGTCCGCTAAATCCTGCCCAGGAGGCGCTCTTGCTCCCTGTTCCTCGACAGGCCGGCCAGGCCCGTGACGGGCAGATCTCTCTTGATCAGCTCCGCCTCAATCAGCTTCCAGCGGCCGACGGCCACCTCCTTGTCAATGGAGCTGACGCGACGGTCGTGCAACTTGACGTTGGCCAGCTGCTTCAGCTTCTCGGACTTTTGCAGGATCTCGGCCAGGCGCTGTACCTTGGGCTGCTTGGCGGTCAGGACAACGAGGTGCCCGACCGTAGTCGCGGCGCCGAGCTTCGCGTCTGGCACCATATTGCCGGTGAGCTGGTAGATTCGTTTGCGAAGCTATTTTCGCATGTTAGCATGGCAAGGCAACATGATTGGTAAAAATTCCAGTATACGCACGGCAAACTTCATCTGATCATTGACGGCGATGCTCTTCCATGATCGACCCCACGCCTGGACCATCTCCGCAGCTTCTTCACTCGAGACTCTTTCTGGCCGCGTGCCCTCCGTCGTAGCATCGGGCGTTTGTTGCAGGCTACTGGCAACAGCAGCCACGTCACCCTTGAGCACAGCAGTGCCGTCCTGGGCCACAATTTCCACGGCAAGCGCCGCATCCAAGTCGTCACGCGAGCCCTCCGCCCACTTGCGCGTAGCCCATTCGCCCAGCGCGCCTGTTTCCTGTAGGGCGAGAACCTCCACCAGTGCCCGGCGGTAGTAGACCTCGATGGCCGCCTTGTCCGTGACCTTTACCGGGCAGGCAAAGGCCGTGAACTGGTCCAGCTCGCTCCAGTGGCCTGGCTGCTCCCACCACTCGCTCAGGGTGGTGCCCCCGTCCGCCAGCTCCTCGAGCGTCGTGGCCGGCTCGTATGCCGGGTCCGTGGCACCCACCTCCTTGGGCGTCGCAGCCTCATTGCGGCCAGCCGGGAACGGCAGCCGTGAGTGGCGCACCCCCAGGGGTCGCCGGTCGGTCGGAGCGGCGCCCTGGAGGGCCGCGGCGGACGGCAGCCGCGTGACGGCCGAGTCCGCGGGCACGTCGTCGGGACGCTGTGTGTAGGGGTCGGCGGCACCGGGGGCCTCGCCGTCCTTCCAAAGCTTGCTGCGCACCCACTCGGTGTTTTTGCTGCTGCTCGGCGCGGGCGTGGTCGAGATGTGACGGGCGGCGAGGGCGCTGCCGCTGGCGGTCCGCCGTGAGGTTGTCGAGGTCGCGCGGTGTAGGGACTGGAGACCCCTGGCCCAGGATATCCGTGGCATGGCCGGGCTCATACTGGCGGCTATGTTGTGTCTCTTTTTCGTGGGAAGAGGAGAGGTGGTGAATGAAGACAATGGCTCCTGGTATCCGCGACAACTTTTTTGGACGCAGGGGTCAATTGAACCAACCAGATGGCGGCATCGCAGTAGCAGCGCCCCACGTACACTGCTGGCCCCTACCTCTTACAAGGCGTCCCGACTGAAATGCGCCATCATCAAGCATCCTCTGCCGACATCCTTCAAAAAACATGGCGCGAATACATATTCTTGCGCTTCTATTTGCAGCACTTATATGTCTAGCTGCTGCATCCTGTGAGTGCCGCGGCTACCCCTGCTCTCTCCAAAAGGCCATTTCTAATGCCCCAAGCGCAGCTCCGCCGACCTTTTGCAAATGCACATGCTTCAAGAATAGCACCATCATTCCTCTAGGGCCCGAACACCAGTCAAAACGGTCATTGCCGTTCTTCGATACGATAGAGACGCCCGCGACCGAAGCCCCGGCCGTAGCGCCGCGATCAGCCTCGACATCATGCTCCGAGTGTACCAAGGCGTTCTGCCTGAAGCAGGGCATTCCATTTTGCAAGGATGCGACCGAGGACGACGTCTTCACCATGTGTTTTCAGCGCGACAGCAACAAGGACAAGATTATAGTCTGGGGTTTCATCCTTGGGACTGTCGGGCTACTTGGTTGGGCTGCGTTTAAGCGCTTCTCCGAGTGGCGCGTGAGTCGCAGATTTGGTCGTCAAGACATAGCGTACGCCCCTGTTGCTCCAGGCCAGTGAAGGGAAATGATGGGTATATAAGTATGTTTTCGGCGTTGCATGGCGTTTGGGGAGTGTTCTACATTGATGGACGCGGATAAAGCAAATAATACCGTCTCGAATACAGATAGGATGTAGCAAAGTGGCTTAGTATGTGCAACTGTAACCCCCTCCATCTTCTTCTAGATGGTTCCAATTTCTAATATAATCACATCCTGCTCTGGTCCCGCTGCTGATATCACTTTTGTGCGCCGACGTCTTTTTCTTGTTTCCAATGATTCATGCAAAACGTTTCTCAATGTTCTTTCTGTTGTTTACGCGGATCCGCCATTTACTTGTCTGCGGACGCGAACCGCCTCGGCGAGGTCCTCAAGGACAGTCACGGTATCCTCCCAGTGAATGCAGGCATCGGTGATGCTGACACCGGGCTTGAGACCGGCGGGTCCTTCGGCAGGAACTTTTTGGTTGCCCTCGTTGATGTTGGACTCGATCATGACACCAATGATGGCCTTTTCACCTTCACGGAGCTGGTCGCTAATGACCTTGGCAACCTTGGGCTGGTTCTTGTGGTCTTTCTGAGAGTTGCCTATTGCGTACCGTGTTAGTCTTGGTCAATCAATACCATGATGCAGCGTCAGGGTCTGTGCACGTACCATGCGAGCAGTCAATCATGATGGCCATCTTTTGCTTCTTCTCCTCGAGGGTCTTCTTGGCAGCCTGGACATTCTCCTTGTCAAAGTTGGGGCCGTAGGTACCGCCGCGAAGAATGACGAAGCCGTGCTCGTTGCCCTTTGTGCGGGTAATAGCGGCGAGACCCTGCTTGGTGACTCCCATGAAGTGGTGCTTGGCGGCGGCGGCGCCAATAGCGTCAATGGCTACGCCAAGGTTGCCGTCGGTGCCATTCTTGAAGCCGACGGGGAAGGACAGGCCAGAGGCCAGCTCACGGTGAAGCTGGGACTCGGTTGTGCGGGCACCAATCGCGCCGACGGAGATGCAGTCGGCAAGGAACTGGGGGGAGATGGTGTCGAGCATCTCACTGGCAATGGGCATGCCGTTGTTGGTCAGGTCGGCAAAGAGCTGGCGGGAGACGCGCAGACCCTTGTTGATCTCGAAGGAGTTGTCAATGCTGGGATCGTTGATCAGACCCTTCCAGCCGACTGTGGTTCTGGGCTTCTCGAGGTAAGCGCGCATGACGATGCAGAGGTCGTCGGCGAGCTTTTCGGATAGGGCCTTGAGGCGAGCGGCATACTCGTGGGCCATGGGGGGGTCGTGGATCGAGCAGGGGCCTACGACGACGAGCAGGCGGTCGCTGCGGCCGAGGACAATGTCGGCGGCGTCATTGCGGCCTTTGAGGACGGTCTTGGTGGCATCTTTGGACAAGGGGATCTCGGTGGTGAGGAGAGCGGGAGGAATAAGGGGATCCTGGCCCAGGACTTTTGTGCACTTGTTAGTAAACAGACTTCGACTTTGGAAAGTTGCAGGACCCGGGCTGGGCGAGGGGCCGTGGCGGCGGTCAGGTTGGAGACAGGGTCTGCCCCGCGTCGGGCACAGAGACGGCTGCATTTGACCAAACATGAAGGCGAAAGTTGCAAAAGAGGCGACTCACTTCGAGTATCGTCGGCAGCCATGCCGAAAAGACTTGTAGACGACATATTATCTGATTCTTTCTTTGCTTTCGCGCGAGCTGGCAGGTTGGCAGATATACAGTACGTCGGGCTGCTTATCCGTAATCGGCGGTGCAGATTTCAGGCGATGAGGGTTTGCTTCCGACACCCAATATAGATACGCATGCAATATCGCGAGAGATGTCGGATCAGGGCGCGCAAAGGGTGAATGTGGTGTGAGCTGAAAAAGAAGCAAAGTTTGCGAGAGGCAGAGTGTGGAAACAGATGCCAATTAAGAAGACGAGGATATGAATCTACAGCGTCTAGCGTGAGTCAGATCTGCGAACTTCGGACGCCGTGCGGCTAATAAAAGCTTTTTGATTTTTTTTCCTCTTATTATTTTAACAACTATTTTGTTTGCGCCGAGTAAAAAGTCAATTGCTGCGACAGTCGACCCCACCAGACAGGTAGCTAGAGGCACTGGAAGGCCTTTGGAACCACAGAAATCCCACTGCAGCAAGTAATTTGTACATTGGCAGGCTTCAGGTTGGCTGCGATGTGGGAAAAGACTGGAGGTGAGGTCCCTAAAATTGGCGCATTTTGGCGTCCACAAGTCAGTTTGCTCCATTGTGTGTGCATGCAAGTATGTTGATATGTCAGTAGGTATATATTGCTGCGGGATGACCATGAAGCGGTGATGCGTGGGCTGATGAGTTTGGGTGCTTGCACATGCCCCTGTGCAAAAAGGTACGTACCTCGGTGGTCCTACGTCAGATGCGGGTACCATGTACAGCTAGTTTATTTATTTTTCAAGGTGCAACTGGGCCCGTCACAGGAGGAGCAAATGGACTTCAACGCAATGCTAACCCGGCCTGGCCCGTTTCACACTGTGGCGCTCTTCAGCACGCTGCTATCTTATTGACAAGGGCTTAGTCTGGTTGACTGCCTGCCTGATTGCTTGCTGCCTGACGAATCAAAGTTAGTATGGATGCAGCATGAACGAGAGGGAGAAACGCCGTGCCAATACCATTGTCTTGTTTCCTGTTTGACAAAGAGACAGTCTCGGCTCATGGTCCGGTCGCTCGGTATCTAACTAGGTGCTAATCAGCAATCAACCGTGGCAAAGCACTGCCGTCATCTTACAGATCAGCAGCCAACGTACGTAGTGCGACAGAGCACACAAGGCAACGACGATGCAGGATGTTGTAACGGTGAACTTGGTACAAGTTACCGTTGGCATAGCTGATAGCTGACTTGCGCATGAACCGAGTCTGATGTTGCGGTTTGTTTTTGCTACATACGCGCGGTCTAAAACAAAGTGAGACCTGCATCAAAGCCGCTGCTGAGTCGTAGGCGAGGGGTGGTTGGTAACACGACGAAGATTCACATCGCGAGCACGACCATGACAAAGGCCTCGGGAAAAGAAAGGAAGCACCTCGAAGCATGTGGACTGTAGTTTAAGCCAACACTGCCGACTGCGAAGAGAGTTGATAGAATCGCGTTGCTTCGAGCTTCAGGGTAGGCGTGGAAGCAAAACAGGTACCTAACCTGAGGTACCTAGAATAGGCTGGTACCTGTCTATACTGGAGAAAGGGAAATATAAGAAAGACTGGGAGGATAAGAAAAATAAGAAGGATACGAAAGATAAGACTACGAAAGTAATGACACTTGAGAAAATAAAGGATTAGGAATATCATAGTATGGCTAGGTAGGTAGGTAGGTACCTCCTGGTAGAGGTATTCACCAGCCGTTCATTTTGGTGCTTTGTAATTTGTTAGCCTGGCCGTTATTAATACTGGTATTTCACAGCGCCTAGCCACCCGTTGGAGCCACAACGCCTCGTCACGGTCCACAGGTGCTGAGCACCTTGAGAGCGTGCACCTCGGGCCTTGCCCAGTCACTGCGATAGTGCTTGCAGCCCGACTCTGTACTTTTCTGCATGCCGCGCTGCAAATTCAAGATGTGACTGCTTTCTTTCCCCTCTTCAGCTTAAAATAAATAATATTCCTCCCCATCTCTATCCCCGCAACCCCCAATCACTCATCGGCTTATTAGACGCTACTATCTTGAGCGATTAGTAGTGAATGCCTCAGAGTCCGCCACATCGGCAGTGGTTGGTCCCTTGCCAGTTACCAACTTTACCAACCATCGCCTTCTCACTCTCCGCCTCTCTCTCCCGCCTCTCTCTCCCGCCTCCCCCCCGCTCCTCGCTCCCTCCAAGGCTGGCCTTGTTCTGTTTCAGGCTTTCGGCTTCGTCCTCTCCCAAAAACGTGCTGCTCCCATCATAAATCATCTCTTTCGTACTGTTTTCTTTTTTCATCTTTCCCTCCCCCCCCCTTTCTTCTGTCCAGTCGAGTCAAGATACCCATACACACACGCCTCTGCTTCGCACAAGGTAACCCGCCCCCTCTGCCGCAACAAATACGGGCTGCCGCCGCCGCTTCACGTCTATTGCGCAGCAGCAATCCAGACACAGCCTCCTGCCCACACACGGTCCTGCACCCGGCTGCATACGCACACCATCCAAGAAGCCACCGTAGTCACGTTGCCTCTGACTCGCCGCCCAAGACGAATTATTTCTCCCTGCACCTCGTCTCGCCTAGCCGCGTGCGACTGGCATCTCAGCCAACATGTTTGCTCCCCAGCAGTATACTGACGTGGTGGACATTGGCCGGAAGAGGCAGCGAGACGAGGCTGAATTGGCCAACGGGCCTGCTGGCTTCTCCGAGCACCGCGCCGTAAGTGAATCGACACGCCGCACCCCAATCCCTCGAGGAACTCAATGCTGACAGCGTAACCAGAAACGCGTTCAATGCCTCCCCGTCCGGACCTCGCCGACGCCCATGACGATGCAGCAAAATATGTGGTCTTCCGCAACCATGGCTTCAGGTATGGGTGAAGCAGACTTTGTCCCAAACGCAAACTATTCGACCTGGCAAACTTCGCCACATATTTACCAGCAAATGACTGCTATGGGTTCCGTCGAGATACAGTCCGCGGTACCGAGCCACCTTCAACCGGACGCCGCAGCTGGTCGCATCCCGACGCCCATGCAACCCAGCTTCGCCGACCAGCTCCGAGGTCAGCAGTGGGCTAATTCGACGAGTGCCGCTGGACGCCACGGCATCGTGAACTTGGGCCACCACCAAGTCGGAATTGCTGAACCACCCTGTGCCCAATGCGACGCGCCACCAGGCCAAGATTGGCAGCCTCTGCAGAGCAATAGAAGACTTCCTTCGCCAATATCGGAATCAGAAGATTGCATGGCATATTCTCCCGGAAATTATGCCGCGCTTCAGGCCATGGAACACCCAAACGCCATGATGGATATCGAGACCCAACGACCATGCGCATCCGACGATGGAGAGGGCGAACCAGACTCTCCCAACTCTCACCGAAAGGGCCATACCCGAAGCCGACACACTGTTAATACCTGGACATGGCAACCTGGCATGAAGCGCAGTTTCAGCATAGGATACCGGTCCGACTGCGATAAGTGCCGCGACAAAGTGCCTGGCCACTTCAATCACATCATTATCTCATAGAAAGGGAAGAGCATCATCGCAGACCCTCAGAAACAGAAAACATTGTGGGATAAGGCGGTGAGACCGCTTTCATGGGGGCAGCAGCGACAAGACCTTCGCTGCTTTCCCAAGCGGATGCCGACCATTCTCTGACGTCTGGCTCACCACAACGCAGCCGGCAAATCCTACTTGCACGCGCGGCTCGGATGATTGTTTTGCGAGCACTCAATGTCCTCCGCCCCAGGTCGGCACAATCAACTTCAACATACTCCACTCCGGAGCTGTACATTTATCTTCGCCCACGAACATGTGTTCACGATGTTACTTTAGTGGGACGCGGTGTTTATTCTGAACTGCATTTTTACGGACGGAGCGTTTGTTTTTCTTTCACCTTTATCATCAAGGGATCGATGTCTCAGCGGATTTTTTCTTTGTTGTATTGGCTACTGCATTCTTTGACTACCACCATCATTAGATCATCGAGATCGTTTGATCGACTCGCTGCATTATTTAGAGCGGCCACTTTGCTACAGGCAATCTGGGCCACCCATTCGCAGAGCGCTCTGCTTCAGCTTACACTGTAATTCACTCTTTACTAATTTCTTCTTGAAGCACCACTCTACTGCATCTTTATACATGTTTTACCCATCGACAACTGCGTTCACAGTCCTCGTGCTTGATATTGTATTCTTGTCTGATTGCGCAGATGTTGAGGATGAGAGATTCATCTATCGTACATACAAAAAAAGTGACTCCATGACGCCGTCTAATGCTCGACCCATCTACAGCCTATGATACAGTATTTGTCGTCATTTGTCTCGACAAACTTCCCCTCTTAACCCGTACATGTCCGCCTCTTCCCTTCGAACTCAAAGTATACATTGACGCCGATGCTGTGTGTTTTCGTTTTGTGAAGTGTGCCTCCTTCGGATCACGAAGTGCATCTACCAGGGCCACCAACCCTTCTTGGCACCCTGTTCACCAGAGGCCCCGGCGAGACCAAGCTGATCCAGGCTGCCGCCTTTGCGCTGATTCTCCAGTTCCCGGTCCCACACGCTCTGCGCTGCGGACTCGACAGCCTGGACAGGCTGGCTGGGTGGCGCGGCGGCCGGTGCCTCCTTGCTCGCGCCGCCAAACAGGCCGGAAAAGATGCCCAGCACGCCCTTTCCGGTGGCGTCGGGGGCAGCCTTGTCGTCGCCCTGAAGAGTGGGCTTGAGGTGTTCCTCAAAGTGCGTGCGGTGCTCAGGCGGCGCGATGAGCGGCGGCAGGCGGATGCCTTTCTCCTCGGCCTCGCGGTTGGCTGCCTCGACGAGCGCAATCTGCTCCTCGGTCGCGGCCCCCTTGAGGTACGCCAGGCGCGCGCTGGCGAGCTCGTCCGACTCGAGCTTCTTCTGGGCTTCGACCCACTCGGCGCGTCGAGCGCGGTTGTATCGAAGCATGTCCCATACCGAGTATACGCTGATGACGCCGGCCACGGCTAAAACGATTCGCCACCGTTAGTGTCTGGGCTTTTTGGGGAGGAGAGGGGCCGGTTGCGGGATGGGAAAAGACCGCAAGGGAGTTTAGCTCACCAGTAAAGACGACGATGCCGCCTACGGTCCATCGGTGGGCCACGTCGAGGAAGCGCCGGGACGCATCGATGAGGCGGTCCGTCTGGCTGACCTGGGCCTTTTGCGCGGCGAGGTGCGCGAGGCGTAGCCGCTTGACGCGCTGCTCGGGTGTCTCGCCGGGAACTCGGGAGGGTCGTGGCGTCGAGGCGGCGATGGAGGGTGATGTTGCTGAGGTGGCCGTCTTGGATGTGGCGTGAGGAATCGTCGAGGTGAATCTCGTAGCGTCCTTGACGGTGCGCGGGCCAATCCGTGACGCCATCACTTCCGTCAAGTTTCGCGTAGTATGAGGGTAGTAGAGATACAGGAAGAGAGAAACGCCTCAGAGGTAGAGGGAGGAGACGATGATTATCTCGGAATGGCGAGTAGAAATGTGGATGGTAGTACAGAAGCGGCCGAGCAAGGTGCTGTCCAGAGGTTTTTCTCCCGCGAAAATGGGGCGGGTTTAAAGGAGGACCTGTCATGAGATTTTTTGGGCGTCCCGGTTGGCGTCGAATTCGCGGGCTGTGATTGGCACGGAGTAATCCCGGTGGACAGCATTCTACGTTGCAATTTTCGACTTGGAGCATCTGTCGGGAAGCTTCTCATAGGCGTGATACATATGTTATTGATTTGATTCTACAGAGTAGAGCAGCTTTTCGTTGCATCAAAATCTCTTCGAACGGACCACGCGAGTTGCTGGCCCTCGTTGCTAAATTTTCGCTCCCTGGTGCACAAGCACCTAACCTCAGGAGCACCGTCCACGAGAAGGATGCAATGCAGACAATACAGGTAACTAGCGACGGATATGTATATAGTTAGGGGCGCTTCTACGGATGTGTCGATCAGAGACATACCAAAGGTACTGTGACGATGTGTTCCTCGTCAACTACAGGGACGCGCTTGGGTGAGCTCGGGATCCGATCGTAAAGCCAAGAGGCATCGCCTCAATCTGTGAGCGCACAACTCCAAGACGGCGACGCATGAGAGCTCCATTCCAAGCTCACAAAGCTTGTGTGGCTAGCTATCCAGCTTCTGTTTCAGCCAACAGTCAACGAAGATACGCTGTGCAAAAAACATCACGGCAACGTTTGTCCAGCAGTACAATCCGGTGCGTCTTCTTCATGGCGGCGCGTATAGCGTCGCCCACAATGAAAAGCGGAGGAAATCAAAAATTGCGCCCCCTATGGCCCCGAAGGACAATAGAGCGTGGATCGACACCGCGCTGTGCAATGCAGGCCTTCCACACTGAAGCCCCCAAATCATGAGCTGGGGAGTTCGGAACAAGGTAAGTATGAAGAAGAAAGGAAGAAAAGAAACGCAAACTCGAGCCGGCGCGCGAAGACTTTATAGCTTGGTCCCACCAGCTCTTTCTGCCTGGCCGCCTGTCAATCCAGGCAGCCAAGGCAAACAGAGGCGGATACGCCAAGCCGAAACGGGCCACCTCATTTGCGGGCCCAGACCCAACACTGTTGTTCGTCCAACTTGCACACAAGTCTAGTGCACGTGACTTCCCACACAATCTCGACTTTTTTTTTTCGCTTGCTCGTCCAGCGGAAAGGGCATACCCCACCAGGTACGTATCGCTGGTAGGGCACGAAAACCCTTCTAAAGAATTGTCAAGCCTCCAACTCCTCCGATTACACCACGCCTCTCGAACAATCGACAATCCGGATCGTTTGATCGCAAGCAGACAAAATGGTACGAGATAATTCCCGAATTGCGCAACGGCATGTTCAAACAAATTAAGATGCGAGTACTGACCTGCCGTTTTTTTATTATAGGCGATCAAGCACAACCAAAAGATCGTGAAGAACCGTGAGCAGATACCCTTTCCAACAATGTCGAAACGAACCCGAAATATCGATACGCCGCAACAACCGACGACATGAACGAAATGGAACTTCAATCGACTGACTGAGGATTGTGATTAGACTTCCACAAGGACTGGCAGCGTCGCGTACGCACGCACTTTGACCAGGTATGCGAATATTGTTCATCCCGACTTGCAACCGGCGCAACTGGCGGTCGGCGAAAAGAAGCGCTTTCGGAAGAATATGGTTATTGACGTAATTGGAATATCTAGGCCGGCAAGAAGGCTTCCCGTCGCACTGCCCGTCAGGCCAAGGCCGCTGCTCTGGCTCCCCGCCCCGTCGACAAGCTCCGTCCCATTGTCCGATGCCCTACCCTCAAGTACAACCGCAAGGTCCGCACCGGCCGCGGTTTCACCCTCACTGAGCTCAAGGTACGAATTGCGATACGAAAAAAAATGGCGACTCCTCGTCCTCGCCCAGTAACGTTCCGCTCGAAGACAAAGGATTTCCAGCAACTTGGAGAACACGCGCACAACGACGAACGGAAATCTTTGTACTTGGGACGGAACAACGTTGTTGGGCGACGAGACGACTTTGGGCCAATTCGCCCGTTCAAGCCGTTGCAAGACTAACCCATTTTTATAGGAGGCTGGCATCACCCGTCCCCTCGCTCCCACCATCGGTATCGCCGTCGACCACCGCCGCCAGAACCTCTCCGAGGAGTCCCTGGCCATCAACGTCGCCCGCCTCAAGGCCTACAAGGAGCGCCTGATCCTGCTGCCCCGCAAGTCCAACGCCCCCAAGAAGGGTGACACCAAGACCGACCTGTCCCAGGTCAAGACCGCCGCCGACGTCGCCTCGGTCTTCCCCATCGCCGCCACCGACCTCGCCGTCAAGTACATCAAGAAGGGCGACATGCCCGCCCCCGTCAAGGGCGGCGCCTATGTGGCCCTCCGCCAAGCTCGCGCCAACAAGCGCTACGCCGGCGCCCGCGAGAAGCGCGTAAAGGACAAGTCCGAGGCCGACAGTGCCAAGAAATAAAGCATCGGGGCGGCTCCGAGGATAAAAAATGGGATAACTGGTGTTTTATGAGGGTTTTTGTGCACTTTGCGTGTCTGAAGAAGTGGGCATGGGTCGGCTGCTGCAAGACTATGATATAGTAGTACTTGGCCCGGTTCAGGAGCAGCGTCCCTCTAGGTCCAAGGTGAAGATATATTTGCATCATCATTGGCTCTCCCTTTTGTATTCGACGCTAAATGAAACAAAAAAATTACGTGACTCTTTATATTTTTACTCTTGTGGTGCTGCCATCTTGTGTGTATTAATCAACTGATGGCTTTTGCAAGAAGATGTCAGGTCGCATCTCATGCTGTACTCAATTCTTTGCTTCTATGGGCCACGACCAGCTCGGTGCCGTCCTTCAGCAGACCCTCCAAGAACCCACGGCTCAATGGCTGGAAATCCTCGGTCCAGTTCCTCAGCAACTCGGTACACATAACGAGGGCATTTTCGCGCTCTACGGCCGCGATGTGCTCCTTTTGTTTGGGATCCGCCTGCTGCGGCTGCAAGGCCAGTCCCTCTGCCGCCGACAGCGCAGTCGTGCTCTCCACCTCCTCCTTGTCCTCGTCCACCACCTCTGTGACGCGCGTGTCCGCCTTGCGGCCGGTAATGGTCTCGCTCAGTCGCGCCGAGACGGCCTCTTGCTGCACAATCGCCGCAATGACGCGGGATCCGTCCGGGGAGCGCGACATGAGCGCCAGCACGAACCACGCCTCGGAGCGCAGGGCATGCCACTTGTCCTGCGTGACGAGAAAGGCCAGCGGCGTGCCCACGTCGTGGCGGGTGTAGAACTCGGCCCGGCTCTCACTGTCGGACGCCCCGTTGCGGGGGAGCAGCTGGGCGGCGGCGTTGGAGTGCAGGACGCGGCAGATGGCAGCAATGGCCCGCGCGGCCTCGACCTTGGTGGGCTCGGTGTCGGTGCGGCGAAAGAGAGCGATCAAGTCTCCCACGCTGTCGCTCTTTTCCGCCGCACCCGGGTCGGTTTCTGCCGCAGCGCCCTCTTGGATGTGCTCGCTGCAAAACTGCGAAACATTGTCGGGGCAGTTGGACAGCAGGAGCCGCGTCAGAGAGACGGCTGCGTATTGCACCTGCGGGAGCGCGTCCAGGGCGTAGATGTGCGGCACACACACGGGATCTAGCAGCGGGCGCAGCGCAGGCTTGTTGTGCGCGGGGATGGCGAGGTTCTTGAGCAGCGAGAGGGCCGCATGCAGCAGCTGCGCGTCCTTGACGGCCGGGTCCGCGAGGAGGACAGCGAGCGCCGTCTGCGGTGCATGGTGCTCGACTAGGGCGGTCGCCGCGGCGTCGGACCGCGACAGATTGCCGAGTGTGAAGCACGCGGCCGCCCGCAGCGCCGCGTCCCCGCTGCTGAGCCACGTGAGCGCCGTCCGAGCAGGCGCCGACGTCACCGGGTACGCTGCCGGGAAGGCGTCCTGGGCGGTGAGCTCGGCGATCATGTTGAGCATGGAGGTGCGAAGCTGTGTCAGGGCCGTGGCCAGGTCAGGGTCGTCGATGCGGGCCGTGTCGAAGCCAGTGTGGGCGTGGTGGAAGGCGTCCAGGAAGAGGCCGACCTGGTCGCGGGTGATGGCGAGCTGCTGGAACCGTGCGGCGGCGAGGTAGGCGATGGCGACGGAGCCGAGCGAGGCAAACTCCTCGACGTCGTCTTTGCACGGGGTGTGGATGGCGACGGAGAGAAGTGCGGAGACAGTGTCGTCGGCCGCGACGGCGAGCTCGGCGTCTTTGTGAACGAGGAGCGCGAGGATCCGGCAAAAGTACAGGATCACGCCGAGGAACTGGGACAGGTTGGGCGACGTGAGAAGCTTGACCATGGCTTGGCTGATCTTGAGCTCCGAGGCCAGGGTCTGGGCCGGCTCTGTGTCAAGGATGAATTAGTATCGTAGGTCTCGGAAGTTGATTTTAACGTCGGTGGCGTGTACACGTACCATAGTCGACCATGACATTGTAAAGCACAGGAATGGTGAATTGGACGACACTTTCGTCCCTGAGCTGGCGGATAACCGCCTCCAGCCGCCCATTTTCAACCATGAGAGCCCGGTTCTTGTTTATGTCCGCGCATGAATTTCCCACAATTCGCAAAGAGTGAATTTTCAGTTTGTTGCTGATGTCGTCCTTGGCAAGCTCTTCAAGAAAAAAAGACAAGATACCCGAGTCACCGTATGGCAAGCGCCAAGCCTCTACAATGCGGTGTGAGCCTCAAGCTATCTATGTCATCGAGCGTTGAAAAGGGAGACAACGTACCATCCCGGCTACCATCGCCCAGCTTCTCCGCCGCGACTTCAAGCTGAATCTGGTCCGAGGCTCGCAGCTCTTTGCACGTCTTGAGCACCTCAGCCAACAATTCAGTGCGGCGCTGCACCACATGTTCTTCCTCTAGAGTCGCGTCATACTCCCCGGTCGACTCCCCGCGACCTTCGCGCTGCAGCAAGTCTGCAATATCTTGCGGCGTCATGTTTGCTGAGTGAATAGAGCCCCTCACAGCAGAGCCGAGAGGTGAAGGTGACGTTGAGCTTATCCGAGGTGAGCTGGGAGAAGGCACAAGAGAGAAGGAAAAATGGAGAAGCTAAAGATGATATGAATCTTGGAACAAGAATCCGGCGTCGCTACTCAAAAGGAATTTCAAGAGATGTTGGAGAGCCACTGTAGATGTTTCGTGGTCATCGTTACTGCCTTGTCACTACCAAGGTGAACCTCCCTCCGTCGAGTGCTGCCCACTTCGGTAACTGGACGGAGCCCGCTAAAGAACGCTGTAGTTACTCTTGTAAACGCCCTGTAGAACGCACGGTCGAATGCCGGCTAAACCCGGACAAAGCCAGCCGTCAAGATTCTCAGACAAATGTTTTGAAGAAGAAGCAGATTATTGAGAATCTTTTCTTCTTGGATTGTTAGGCATCTCATGCAAAACCACTGGGCGGTCCTTTGGTAGGAGGGACTGGAAGCAAGACTGGAAGCAAGCAGCTGAAGGTTTGATGCACGAGACCTTCTAGAGCTAGAGTGCACGAAACGCACCAAGAATGGACCGAGAAAGAAATATCATGTATTTGGTCAGAGATAACGAATATAGCGGATTCTTTGTTTCTATTTTTTTTTTTAGAAAGCTGGCTGTGATTGTGGTTACTAACTGTAGTTCATTAAGTAGTAGCACTAGAATCAGCCGAGAACCGCAAGTCACAAGTCGATCCATGTCGACGTCCAATATGCAGGTATGTAGTTAGCGAACATGACAAGTTTTTAGAATCCTGATTTCAAGTCTTCTTCTCATATTGTACCTATATATTCTTTAAAGTGTTTTGAGAGGTTGAAGTTCTGTAAGAAGTTGTTCTCTCAATCATGACTAAGCATCACTCTGGCCTGGCCGTCCCGCGCTTGACCAGCGTAAGGAAAATCTAGCGCCTCCGAAATCTCGCGACTTCTCCTTTGCTGCTACTCGACTTCAAGGCCGCCACTCAAGCGCTCCAAGCCGACGACGCAGAAGCATATTGCTGTCTTGCTGGAGTGAGATTCCTCTATTTATACTCACCGCACTTCATACGACACAACTCAGCGATTGAGTTCGTCTGATCCAAACGAAAATGGTACGAGAAGCAGCGCGGCCCTGCCCGTCTTGCGCAAAAAGCCTTTGCGCCGGCGCACACCTCCGCGGGCCTCGGCCACAGCAATCGCGTCACGTTTCCAGCAAGATGCACTCCGCTAACATGATCCCTCCTCCTCTATAGGCGCACCGCTTCGTCATCACGGCCTTTGTCACGGGCTCGCGCATCCTCGGCCGCTCCTTTGTGGCGGCGTACCAGCAGGCCCAGGCGGCGTCCAAGTACCAGCGCCACGTCGCGAAGAACGGCGGCGGCGGCGGCGCCTCTGCAAGCGCCTCGCTCTCGGGCGGCATGACGCTCGACGAGGCCTGCAAGGTGCTCAACGTCAAGCCCCCCGCGGGCGGCCAGGCCAACGTCGCCGAGGTGCTCGAGCGCTACCAGCGCCTCTTTGACGCCAACGATCCGCAAAAAGGCGGCAGCTTCTACCTGCAGAGCAAGATTGTGCGCGCCAAGGAGCGCTTCGAACGCGAGCTCGGCCCCATGCGGGAAAAGGTCGAGCACGAGGCCGAGGCCAAGGAGGGGTGGAAGCCCAAGGTCTACAAGGACCGGTAGACGGGGCGCGCTCGGCGTCCGGCGGAAATCGAAACTTTTTTTTTTTGCGAAACCGACGGCGCGCGACATTTGAAACAGTTCATGATTGGAGACACTCGTCGAAAACGACTGAAAGCGGACACACGAGCTGCGCGAAATAATAATCTGGCAACCCAAGAGAGTGGCTGCGGAAAAGGAACGAAGACAGGGACGCTTCCTTTGTATACTTGTACATCTTCACTCGACTTGGCATGGCATGGCGTTTTATGGGCGGAAAAATATACTACAACTAGAGAAACAAGAAGCCGCCAGGAGGCTGATCACAGCTCCGAAGCAACGACTGGTACATTTGCACGGAATCTTGCCACAAAAGCGTGCTTCATATCGTTGCAAATTACCACCTGTATTATTTCAACCAACATTTTTTTTTTAAGAACCTTGACGAACGCGCTGTATGCTCAAGTGACCAGGCCCTTACTCTCGTCTCCGTACAAGACCCTTCCAATAGTCAAAGCTATTCTCGTCGCTCTGCAACGACCATATGCGACCCGTCCCCCGGCCGTCCCTATCTGTCTCTTCCACGCGGAGCATGCCCCAGTCCCGGGTGATGCCCAAGACCCTCGCCCGCGTGCCCGCCTCGGCCTCGAGCGTAATCTCCTGGCCGGTGTGCAGCCAGTGGCGGTAGTACCGCGACTCGAGGTTCCTGGAGAAGCCCTCGCGGCGAAACTGCGCGTACACGGCCTCGGTGCGCGCGAGCACCCGCGCGAGCAGCGTCTCGAGGTGCAGCGGCGCGGCGCCCTCGCCGAGCATGTCCGAGATGGACGTTGTCGGGCGCGGGTTCACGGCGTTGATGCCGATGCCGAGGACGATTTGGTAGCTGCCGTCGTAGTACCCGCACTGGGAAAGGATACCGCCAATCTTGACGTAGGATTTCTCCGAGGCAGGCTTTCTTGGGTCCAGCGCATCTTGGAACAATTTGGTCAGTTACAAGCAGTGGAGGGTGAGAGTACACACGTACAGATGTCGTTGGGCCACTTGAGCTTAACTTGCAGGTTCTCGTACCCGCGGCCGTACGACTGGATCGCTTCGACGACGGCAATGGCGGCAATATATTGGATGAAGACGACCGGCCGGGACGCGGCCAGGTTGGCGGGGTGGTTGATGATGACGGAGAAGAGGAGCGAGCCCGGCGGCGCGACCCAGACGTTGGTTCCGCGGCCGCGGCCGGCAAGCTGCGTGGAGGCGGTAAACGTAAACCCCGACGGCAACTTTGCAATAAGTTTAGGATTTCTGTCATCGCTTGTTAGCAAAAGCCCTGACTAGACAAACAGACACATCTGTCATACTTTTCAAGAAGGACATTCGTGCTCGTAACGACATCACCGTAGAGTAGGATGTTGCCCCATTGTCGCGCATCATTCTCCATGGACTGCGACGCCTGCAGGCTCGAAAAGAAGAGTCTGTGGTTAAAGCGCGGCGTGAGCTTCTCATCCGGCAGCTGCTTCTCGTGCGCCACAATATCCTTGGTCACGGTCTTGTAGTCGGGCACGCCGTGGGCGTCGAGCTCCGGGGCGGCGTCACCGGCGCCGCCCGGCAGCGCCTCCTTCAAATCTTTGAGGTTCCAAGCGGCTCCCTCCTCCTTGCTGCGGAGCCGAAAGGTGTCGGCTTCGGCCCGGAGGAGGTCTTGACCGTGCTCCCTGTCAATGACGTCCTGCCACGCGTAGAGGAGCTCACTGACCGTGCCGCTGTCCGCGGCGGACAGGTGGAGGCTGGTGAGGACCGGCGGCGCGGTGCCGCCCTGGCTGTTGACCTCGAGGCCGAGGCGCTCGAGGCACAGACCTAAGAAGCCGGACCGCGTGCGGTCGTCCCGCGCGAGGCTAGCGATGAGCTCGTCGTAGCCGGGGACGTCGGGATGGCGGTGGAGGATCTCGGCGGCGAATCTGTGGCAAGCTCATGTCAGTACGTTTTTCTCAAGACCTGACCCTGTCGCAATGCCGAATTTGCAAGCTTACTCTGGATGGGTGCCGCAGAGAATCGCCTTGCCGTCGCCAACACTGCACTGGACAATGGCAGCGCTGCCGCCCTCGACATCCAGCTCATCGCAGTACGACGCCAGCACCTGCACCTTTTTGTCCGCCAGCTGCTCCGCATCCACAAACACGCCGCCTCCGTTATAATAACAAGTCATGTCTGGCGGCAGCCTGTCGCGCACCACGTCGGCCGCGAGGCTGAGCCGGGCCGCGCGCGCGCCCTGCTCGCTCGCGTACGCGAAGCCCTTGAAGGCGGCGCCGCGGCAGGTGCCGGGAAAGAAGCCGAGCTCGCGGGAGCCAATCACCTCGAGGGGCGCGTGGCCGACTTCAAACTCGCAGCGGCGGGCGGCGTAGTAGCCGCCGGCGCAGAGGCCGAGGTAGGCGCCGCCGCGGCGGACAAAGTCGGCGATGCGGCGGTTGCCCTCGCCGTTGAGGACACGGCAGTAGCCGAGGTCGCCGCCGCCGGGGACGACGAGCAGCGCGCACGTCGGCGCCCAGGGCTCGCGCAGGATCACGGCCTCGCCGACGGGGATGACGGCGTAGTTGGGCGTGAGAAGCCGCCGGAGGGAGTACATGGCGTGGCGGACCGACTCGCTGGTGGTGCCGGTACCTGGCGGGAACGGAAGAAGTGGTTAGTCGAATCGAATGAGCCAGTTTGAAAAGATTTAGCAAGGAGAGGATGGAATACCTGTATAGACGAGGACATTGAGTCGTTGTGGTGCCATCTTGGCGAGTCGCAGGGTGGTTTTGCACAAGACGGGTCGCCAACCGTTGCAGACGAGTTTGGGTGAATTTCCACCTTGCAACCCTCTCAACCTTGACAAGAGCCCACCCAGCGAGATAAAAGATGGGATCGTCACAGTCGGCGCAGCCCGACAAAGCAAAGGCGGAGGATGATAGGGTGCAGCAGCCTGATGCTGCAGCTCAGGCAGAGGACGACGATGAGCCGGATGAGTGGTGAGTGTTTTGTAAACGGGCGAGCAGTTGGGGGAAGCGGGCGAAAGTTGGAGGTAGTTGGTGCACCCTGCATTCGATCCGATGCTAACCTTGGGTGGCCACCGGGCAACAGGGACAAGCGAATCTTCAGCACTGGATGCTCTGGTGAGTTGTTTTGATGATTATTATTATTATGATTTTCCTTCATTCATGATTGGGTTTATACCTGCCGGTGTCAAGTGCCATCCATCATTTACTGTCACGGACCGCTGTAAGCTGACTACGGGCTGCTTACCTATAGAGGAGAATGCCAAAATGACGGACTGCTACTTTGAGAAGAAGGATTGGAGGGTGTGTGCTTCCGAAGTAAGTCTAAATAACCTCGAGCATTCTCTCATATTTGCTTGCCTCCTTTCCATCCACGTCTAGCACCCTCCGCCGCTGTGCTAACTGTCACCAAGATGCAGCTGTTCAAAGAGTGCTGGAAGCGCCACGGAAACGAAGAGCGCACATCGACCAAAGACGCGTAAACGCTCCCCCTTGCACCATATTATACGCTGTACAATATCGCATCACATCTCCTTGTATTTTTAGAAAATACCTAATTCAACACTTACTTTGTTGTACAGATGCCACCAGCCATGCGTGTGTAATTGTGGGGCGCCTGTGTGACAAGCTCGTGCTTCAAAAAAAGTTGCTGGATCGTGCAATCTCGTTCCTTCTCATCTCTGCATCCTTCAACCCTTTTGGACGTCAATCAACCCGGCGCCTTCTCCATCACGCCAGTCCCGACAACCATGAACGCCTCCCGGACAGCCCTGTCGCAGGGCCAGAGGCAATTGCGCTCCTCCAGCCGCTTCGCCACGCGCAGCCTCACGGCACTCTCCACACGATTCTGGTCGACGTCCTCTGCAGCTCCAGACGCATCATCCAAGACAATACCGCCCGCGCCAAAAGTCTCAGCTCTACCAGACACCGCCAAGCCGACGCCCACAAAAGCCGCACCCTCCAAACCAGCCGCCCCCAAGCCCTTTTCGAAGCCCTATTCCACCGCGACCAGCAGCAGCAGCAAAGCCGCCACCGCCTCGTCCGCGATCCCCAGCGACCTTTTCTACCAGCCGACAACGGTCGCGCACGCCGAAGAGACGGTGGGCGGCGACGATGCCGTCATTCCCGCGGTGGACTGGTCCGCGAGCTTCCACGGCATCGCGAGCCGGCCGGTGTCGCAGCGGCAATTTGCCGCGCTCCTGCGGCCGCTCGACATCGACGACATCGAGGTCAAGCCCGACGGCATCGTCTACCTCCCCGAGATCCGCTACCGGCGGCGCCTCAATGAGGCGTTTGGGCCAATGGGCTGGGGCCTGGTCCCAAAGGGCGAGGCCGTCGTCGGGGATTCCGTCGTCACACGCGAATACGCCCTGATTGTGGATGGAAGGTGAGATAGAGATCCCAAGTCGGCTACTCGCCAACTCTCCAGGAAACTATTCGAGAAGTAGAAACGGCAGAAACTAACATGCATACCTCGTCCTAGATTCGTCTCGCAAGCACAGGGCGAAAACTCATACTTTGGCGCCGACCAGCTCCCGTCCGCCGTCGAGGGCTGCAAGTCCAACGCGCTCATGCGCTGCTGCAAGGACCTGGGCATTGCCTCGGAGCTTTGGGACCCGAGCTTCGTTCGCTGGTTCAAGAAGAACCGCATGGAGGAGGTCTGGGTCGAGCACGCCACCACCAAGAAGAAGCGCACGCTATGGTATCGCAAGGGCGCCGTCGACGTCGCGTATCCCTGGCGTCAGGCGAAATAGAGAGGAATGAGTCAAGGGAGTGGGGGGGACAGGAAGACGTCCTCGTAAAACATGTATTATAGATTCGTTGCAACTGCTCAGCACGAGAGACGAAATGCCCTCGACGTTGCACATTACAACAAGCCCTGGCGCGAGGAAAATCACTTCTCGCCTCTAATTTATTTGGATTCACTAGCCGAGCTTAACCACTCTCAAGGTAGAGTAGTATTGCATAACGCCTGTTCGTATCACTATATAACTTATCGCTCTATCACGTATCACTGTATATCTAAATCCAGGCGATTCAACCAAAGTATGTAAACCCGTGCTGTCCAGCAACGCCGTCTACGCTCCAACGCCGGTCTCCCCAAGGAAAGGTCTCGTCCTGGATGCTGTTGCACGGATGGCAGGCCTAATGCTCCCGTCCAGTGGTTGAGCCAGGATCGTCGTTGTGTGCGCCAGCGCCGCCCCATCCCCATGGCATCCAAGAGCCGCCTCCCGTCACATTGCGCCTGCGCATTGTGAGGTCCTCCTCGGCGCCGCTGTCGGCGTCAATATTTTCAAAATCAGCCTCGCTTCGGCTCTTACTAAGAGCGCTCAGCATGCTAAGCCCGCTGGGTGATTGGGGTGGTGCTTCCGGTTCAGCTGCTCCGTCAAAGGTACCTGGCGTGGCCTGCTTTGGCGTTTCATTCTGGAGTTGTTGCGCCTCGCGGTCGAGAGCAGCCAGCATATAGGTAAGGCGTTCTTTCTGTGTGGATATGAAGCTCATCTTCTCGCTGGAATCTCGCAGGTGCTCTGGAATAAGGTTGCCAGACGAAGCCACGCCGCTCGAGCCCGGAGCACTTCTAGAAGCACCGGCGCCGCTGGCGGCCGCAACTGCGTTGGACAAGAGACTATAAAAGTCACTGGCTCCCTGGGCACCTGGAGCGGCCCATTTTGCGGAAGGGATGCTAAACCTCGAGAGCAGAGCCTGCGTATAGCCTTGCGCGCCGATATTTTCGGGGACAGGCGCAGGAGGCTCAGCTGGGGGCAAGCCAAGCAAGTTCTCTTTAATATAGTTGATGGCTTGTCGAAGGTACGTGAGCCCCGATGATTTGAGGCGCTCGTGGGAGCTGGCAATAAACTCGTCGATCTGCGACTCGTTGTCCTGGAGAAATGGGTGAACGTACTGCTCGTATAGAACACGTGCGCCTTGGGTCTGTGGTAAGACAAGGTAGAGAATCAACAGCAGACGAAAATATCCATAGAAGGGTATCCTGGAGACAGGGAAAAGGGTCAGTGTTTGGATGCGACGACTGTGTGGAGGGTGCAGAACGAACCAGGTGACAATAAACGCGACCCAAGACTCGGCCAGGAGACCGATGCTAAGCACAACCCAGTACATAAGCCATGGTGTTAACTGCGCCGGATCGGACGTTTTAAGCGCCTTGTAGGAAGCGAATATCGGAAAGAGAAATGATGCTAACGAGCTAACGAGTCGCAAAGGCACATTGTTAGTAGCGTTGGTGGGAATATGGTGCGCCCGCAAAGCGAACGCGGGGCAAACGAAGGAGCGCTCACCAGAGCAGCATAGCAGGTAGGTCGAACATGATGGTCGGAAACGTGTAGATTTGGGGGAGGATAGTCGAACAGTCAAGATAGTGTATACTTTATCGGGATCGAGAAGGGAGGGAAAAAGATATCGTGCAGTGTAGGAAGTGGCGGCAGTTGGCTTATCGAGAGGGCGAATTGGGCAGCTGACTCGTGATAGACTTGAGGCGAGGAGCAGTCAGGCTGTAGGGAAATAAATGTAGATGACTGGAAACAAGCCCGCTAGCCGCTCATAGCGGACGAGGAGTTGATGACACGATAGCAGAAAGGAAAAGGCCAGGTTGGAAGTATATCGGGAAGAGGTGCTTGGAGAGATGCAAGTGGAGGAGGAGGGGAAGCGAAAGCTGGCCGGGTGCGGACGATGATGCACAGGTGAGAGCCTCGAGATCCGAATAGGGAAAGCAGAGATGGCCAGGGTGACTAGCGGGCATACACACTTGTAGCGGCTTAAAGTGTATCAGGTAGGGGACATGAGGGGGTCGTCTTGGGTGGTCTATTAGTTAGGTTATTAGCGGGCGTTTGGGCATTGGCACCCGTAGGATGCGCTGCAGCGTGCAGGCCGCTAAACAAGCCACTCACGTTGGCTGCTGTTGTGGCTGCTGTTGCGCGGCAGAAAATGAACCCTGGACGCAGTAGCTCGCCCCCTTGGGCTTGGGCGCGCCGACTAGTCCTCCTACGTCATCCGACACGCGTGACCTCTTCACGGACACAACTCGTGGCCTGTAAGACCGCCATACCTCGCTATTATATTTACTATGTGATAATCAGCCCACACGACACTCTGGCGCCTCCCTCGGACGCCGACGGCCGACTCTCGGTGCTGGCTGGCCGGTCATGTCGTGCCCTGCAGGAGTGAAGGGAAGCCACGAGAGGCTTGGGCACAAACGACATTTAACAACAGCCTGGCCGCTTATTAAACAAAACCTTCTACCAACAGTACACCATACAGGGCGTGGATGACATCCAAGACTTGATTGACTTTCTTTCGTCTTCGTGGCTGCCTGCAGGGACCGCCCCCAACTTCCCCGAAGGCTGATATTTTGACAACAAGATGGTCAATCGATAATAAGCTAAACCGAATTAGTATAGACTCACGTAGCCACTCTACCAAGCTTTATAAGGGATAGTACTAGCGTTAATTCTTAATAAGTATTAATTATATCTATTACAAAGGCTACTATAGTAGCTAGAATTAACAATAAATAATTAGTATTACTAATAGCTAGAAAGAAGCTAATAATACTACTATATTACTTATATTATCTATATTATATATATTATATATATTACTTATATTACTTATATTACTTATATTACTTATATTACTTATATTACTTATATTACTTATATTACTTATATTACTTATATTACTTATATTACTTATATTATTTATATTTTCTAAATTATTAATATCTCTATGCGAACGTTGCTGCCGGCAAGACACACACCACTCACCACTCCGGCATCTCACATTGTGCATCCTGATTCTCATTTGGTGTTACGCGGTTACGCGCGTCTTAAGCTATGCTGGCTCGCCCTATTCTCTGTCCTACTATCGATGTAGTTGCCTACGCATGGACGCTCCATTTCCACGTCCAGCTACCTAAGCAGCCGGCAAGGCGCATCCCGACTCCTCATTTACGGCCATAGTTCCCGCGCAATATCCTGCACCAACTTGAGCTTTTCAAACATCTTTACCTCCGTCATCCCGTCCGCCCCGCCGACCGCCATGCTGGAAAACCCGCACTGCGGGCTGATGCCGATGTGGCTCATAGCCTCCTCCAAGCTGACGCCCTGCCCGGCCGCCACGATGCGCGCCGCCTCCACCACCCGCTGCTTGACCTGGTCGCGGTCCTCGAGCGTCGGGTCCTTGGTCGTCACCACCCCGAGGACCACGTTTTTCTCCCGCGGCAGGTGGCGCAGCGGCTCGAAGCCGCCCGAGCGCGCGTCGTCGTACTCGAGGAAGAAGGTGTCGTAGTCGAGCGTCGAGAAGAAGCGCGCCGCGATGCGCTCGTACGAGCCCTGGCTAAAGTGCATCGACTTGGCAAAGTTGCCCCGGCAAATGTGCAACCCGATGTGCATGTCAGCCGGGCGCCGCGCGATGCAGTCGTTGTGCGCCTGCAGGTACTGCGTGAAGAGCGCCTCGGGATCTTCGCCTTCGGCCTCGAGGGCGGCAAGCATCTCGTCGGAGCAAAAGTAGGCAAGCGTCGGGTCGTCAATTTGCAAGTTGCGCAGGCCCTCGTCGTACAGGGCTTGAATCTCCTGTTGGTAGGCCACGGCCAGGTCGGCAAAGAAGTCGCCGTCGTTGCTGTACGCCTCCGGGCTGTAGCACTTGCCCTTGGCCAGACGCAAGTGAAAGTAGCAAGGCGGCGGCATCGTAAACTTGCACGCGCCCCATTTCTCCCTTGGCAAAGTATCACGTAGCATCTTCCAGCTGTCCATGTACGGGCTCTCCAGGCGCCGAATCTTGCCGTCGCAGACCGCGGCCATGGGGTACTGCTGGCCCGCCTGCTTCAAAGCCGCAATCGGTGGCGCCGACACCCGCGCGAGCTCCCATGGCACCGGGCTCACCTCCCTGAAGCCGGCCAGCTTCTCAAAGAAGCCCGAGAAGTAGTACTTGCGGTCGTATTCGCCCGACGAAATGGCGCGCACGCCATTCGCCAGCTGCTTCTGGACAATGTCGGCGATGGCTGCCCTCTGTACGACTTGTAAGTCGGCGACAGAGATGCTTCCCTCGTCGGCTTTCTTCTGCGCCTGGGACAATGATACTGGTCGAATCAACGACCCGATATGATCGGCATGAAATGGAAGTTTTGTGTTGCCCATGTTGCCAGCTTCGAGTATATTAGGAAAGGCCGAGGTTGCGAGCATCGAGTTCCGGGGGAGCGTGTCAATTTATAGCAACATCTAGGCGACATCAACTTTTGCATACCCCGCATGTTATGCAAGCCACCGTTTGCCGTGTCCAAAGCTATTTGCATTGTATAGCCCATGTCCGCGGGGTATTTTTGTGTAGCTGATCGAGAGGCACCATCGAGGCTTGGCGTAAGTGGCGGCGATATCTCAAGCCAACTTCCACTTCAGCCCACATGATCGATAAATGGGGTTCATTTCCTGCTCTTCAAAATCTTTCCCATAGACACGTCTCATCATTCTTTGGGTAAATCGCCACTGTAAACCATTATTATTCGTACACTGTGACCATCCCCGCACCCAACTGCCGTTCCAGACATCCGTGGTCCACCGTTGCACGGCGGGGGAAGCCCCGCGCCCGCGGAGTTTTCTTAGTACCGGGATACCAGCATGCGCCGTTCTTGATTGCCGTAATGGACGAAATACTGCAACACCGTTATATGGAGAAAAGGTAGCCATTCGCCTGTGGCAGTGGCTACCTAGAGTACACGTACTCCCAGGAGAGTGGCTACCGAGTCGTGGTTAGGTGTTGATGCTACAATACATAAAGCCAACGAGGAGTAGCAACAATTGATTATAGCTGGTGACATTTAAAATCAGGAATATCATTATTGTCAGAGTCGCGGCGGCAAGGTCGTTGGGAGCAACGTCGGGCCGTTTGAGAAGTCTTCGGGCAACTGTCCAGTATTTTCCCAAGGCACAATGTCCAATTTTCACCACTCGTCTAGTCAATAATTTAATAAGTCGCTTCAGATTGCGAATCCGATCTACGATTAGATGAGCAGGAAAACGTACCACTGGAAGACGGGGATGCCCCTCCCTCGCAAATCATCAGTTGTTATAACGCACGCTTATCGATTTCGGTACAAATGCATTGACATGAAAATCCCTACGCCGCAAAATAACAAGTACACGTATGAAATAAACGAGACGGCCCGGCGTGCCCTAGTTAGTCTGTCTGTAGTGGTACACTAGCCGACGGTCCAGCCGTCCTTGACTGAGGCTGTCGCGGTCAGGAATGCCCGAGTCAGACGCGTGATCCTTTTGCCTCTTTTCACGGGTGTGAAGAAAACAAATAAAATGAAGACAGAGACAATCGAGACTAGTTTACTGGGTAGACTGTATTTGTGATTCTAGCCTCGACCACGCCAGTTCGCAAGTTGGCATCTCTTTATTTATCATTCTTGACTTTTTCAGAGACGGGCGGGTAGGGCTGTCATCCGTTCATCACCCCAATGTCTCACCTGCCATTCTGACATGCCCCATTCTGTACCGTCGGTCGATTCGGGAGCTTAGTTGCGGTGGAAATTGGCCCTTGGGCTGACGGTGAAAAAGGCTGACAACTTGTGATCCCGCCATCTGAAGGGAGACTTTACGCCATCCCTGTGCAGTACGGTGAGAATCCCATGTAGATGTCGTCGTCTTGCTAGGGCTCTAGGTTGTTGGCGTTGTTACTTGGGTCCGATGACGTATTTGTGACGATAAAGTATAGTGTCACTCAATCACGACGTCGTGGTGTTGTCCTGCCTATCGTTTGTGTGGCCTTGACGCGTTGATTTTGCGTGTTAGTGATGGACTCGTGAGACAGATTTCTCTGTGCCGATAATTTCATTTTCAATAAGTGGGGATTCGGAGGCATCCCTGACTCCCAATAATACTTGCATTTTGTAGCAAAAAGCGTTTAGGTCGTAACGTGTTTGGATTTTTGTTGACGGGTTCTATGCCGATTTGAATATGTATGAACAAGGTTGCGGAGAGCCGCCTACTCACGTCGTGGCGTAGCACGACAACAAATACATAGATTGTTAGTATTAAAACGACGACAAAGCGTTGAATTTACCAAGTAAGCCACCACTGCCTTATTATTGACATACATTTAGCCGAGAGCAGCGTGACCAAGATTTCACCACACTGCCATAGCACTACCCTGTAGCAGAACAGTGCAAGTACGCGAAAATGTCGAATCTCCACACCGTGTCTCGCTCTTCGCGTTCTCAACTACAGACACCACAACGTCCATAGACTCAATGCGCCGTCGAAGGCAAAAAACCAGACGGAGCCCATTCAACGCAGACATTGAAAACAGTATCGAGGAGTCCTCGTATATTTGGTTGACGTTGAGCTTCTACCGGTAAGCTCGTACACATCGCCAAACACGATGAAAGTGAAGGGCCGCTTTGCCATAGACCATCGAAACGTCCGAAATGTGGAGGTGGGCTCCCAAGTAATGCATATCCCCATAAAGAGCTAACATTGACAGATCCCGATCGGATGGAACCTTGTGCGGAGGGGAAATGCGGCAGGAAATTACGTCGCAAGGCGCGTCGGCTCCTGGCGCGGATCATCGGCCAACCCCCGGGCAGAGGAGCTCTGACTGCAGAACAGAGCATACAGAGACGCACCTACTCAATCGCTTTTAAATGTTGATTCCAATCTATTTTCTCCGAGAAATTGCATTCAGCATACCCATGTTCACGAGGGGCCAGCTTCGGTTCAAGTACGAACTACAAGGAGCCAACCGAGCTAACGCGGACAGCATTGCACACCACCACCTCCAGCGAGGCGACTTTCCCGACGCGATTTCGTGTTCAGCATGCCTTTTGAAATCCAGAGATTGGCCGAGAACGTGTCGCGTTCTCCCACAGCGCTGTACTTGCTTGGAATTCTCCCTTGCGGCACCAAGTGGGTAGAGCCGCGATCCCACCTGTCTCACCCCTCCACCACCATCATCTACACTTTGTCTACCTATGTACATAGCCTTACAGCAAAACCGACAAGCCGAGCCTAGGGAACAGAGTTATTAGCTCGTCGGTCTAATAATTCGAGACACAACGAGGAACCCGCCAAAATTGCATTCTTCAGGATCAAGCTCCACAGGCGCCTTCCTCGGGCACTCAGTCTAGATGCTGCATTCTCGCCGTGAAACTGTGCTGCTCTTGGGTGGGAAAACAACGAGAGGGAGAAAACAGTCATGAGAAACCGGCGCGTCGCCAAATGAGTTATAAATACCCGCCGCTCATCTACCTTGGAGATGTGCTCCTTCTTTCTCTTCATCCACTCCCGCATTCGCGATTACACTCATTTCTTGCTAGGCTGAGCACCCTCGTCCTTCGTTTTCTAGCCCCAGACAGTACCTTTGATTCAAAAACCTGCCAAGATGCAGATGTCCATTATTCTCGCCGCCGGCGTCGGCAGGGCCGTCATGGCAGCCGTCCAGATGCCACAGAACGGCACTGCTACCCCCGCCGCTGCCTCGCTCATGTCTATGCCCGAGACCGTTGGCGAGTTCGACCTCGTCGGCTGTGCCGGTGACGGGGCCGACTTTGCCAACTTTCAGATGGTTGCCCAGTCTGCGCTCATGTCCCTGAACTTGTGCGCTGCCAGCTGCCCGAACAAGTACTTTGCCACCCACGACGAGTAAGTCCAGTCCCTCCTCCCATACCATCCGCACGACCATGACTCTGACCATTCTCTGCAGTGAGTGCCACTGCGCTGATGCGACCGCAGAGGATATGACTCAAACCACTCCTAGTAGCTGCGCCATTCCCTGCCCCGGCAATGACAAGGAGGCCTGCGGTGGTGCAGCCGCTGCCCTCTCTAGCCGCGGCGCCGGCGGCAAGCTCTGCACCGTCTACGTCCGCCGCCCCAAGCCCAAGGTACAGACCAAGATCGAGTACCATGTGCACACCATCACGGCCTGCCCTCCTACCGTCGTGCACTGCCCTGCCGCGCCCCACGTCACCACCGAGACCAAGACCATCACCACCGAGGTCTGCCCTGAGCCCGAGTGGCACAAGAAGAAGATTGTCTGCTACGGCGGCCACTGCGCGCCCGAGTACCCCTGCCACGGCGAGGACTGCAAGCGCGAGCGCGTCATCTGCCACGACGAGCACTGCTGGACCGAGACCTGCGATGAAGACGAGGACTGGAGCAAGCTCGTCATCTACAAGGGCGACGACGACTGCCACTACGCCCCCGGCTGCCGGGGTGATGACTGCAATAGGAAGGTTGTCTGCTACGACGGCAAATGCGTAATCGAAAAGTGCGTCGACGATGAGTGCTCCAAGAACCTCCTCTGCCACGACGATCACGAGTGCCACCATGCCAAATGCGACAACGGCGAGCAGTGCCACCAGAAGATGATGTGCCACGGCAACGACTGCTCCTTTGTCCCCCCTTGCTATGGCGAGCATTGCCCCAAGGCTCCTCTCCCCAAGCCCAGCGGTTCCAAGCCGACTCCTGCCCCCGGCTACTACAATAAGGGCGACAATGAGCACAACGGCTGCCACAAGGGTGACCATGAAAATGACGGCTGCGATAAGGGTGACAATGAACACAACGGCTGTCACAAGGGTGACCATGAAGATAACCGCTGCAATAAGGGCGACAACGAACATAATGGCTACAATAAGGGTGACAATGAGCACAACGGCTACAATAAGGCTGACAATGAACACAACGGCTACAACAAGGGCAGCGACGAGAAAATCGACTACAACCACGGCAACAATGGCAAGTCGGACCAGAACGGCGACTACGGCTGCCATCTTCCCTACTGCAAGCCGGCCCCCGGTGGCAGTGCCAGCAGCACCGGTGCTCCTCGCCCTACCTACCCCCCCATGGTCATGGTCGGTGGTGCTGAGCGCAACGGTGCCACTCTCTTCGGTGTCCTCGCCGGTTTTGCCATGCTTCTGTAGACGAGCCATTTCCTCGATGCTCTATTCTTCCCCGGCGTATTCAGGCTTCGTTTCTCACTCGACCGCTTGACGGTGTTTGTTTTGGGTGTACTTTGGTGTTTTTTAATTTAGGAGACTTGCGCTTCCCGCGTCTCGCACTTGGCTTTCCGCCGCGAATTGACAGTTCTTTCTGAACGCCCTTGGGACTCTTTTGCGACTTATGCCGCCATCCTGGATGGCTTTTTATTTCTCATTTTTAAAAAGTAAATAAATTGAACGTTCAACGGCACGTGCATTACGCTGTACGCTTCTGCAGCTGTTTCCGCCTACATCACTCTTCCCGCTATCGGTTGCGAAGCTCAGAACCTATAATTAACCTAAAAAGAGAACAAGAAGGATAACGACGAAAGTTGAAAGGGAAAACATAGTAAACACCATCCGCGCACCATCCATTCCCATAACCCCAGATTACGTAACCGCCTCATCGCACATCTTGTCCGTCCAGTTGCCGCACACAAATTTTGCCCCGCCACGAGACCCCCACCAGAAATCAATCGAAACCGCCAATTCAGGTCCCAATCACGACCGACTTGGGCCTGACTGCGCAGAACAAACATGGACATTACCAGTTACGTCCTCCAGGGGCGCGACAATGCCCTTGTTTATGGCGACTACTCCACCTACCACACCCAGTTGTCCAAGCGCCTGTTGAGCTCGCGCAAAAAGCTGGGCACTGTTACGCGGAACCGTGGCAAGTTCCATAAGCCGGAAGCCGTCACTTCTGAAAACATCGCCAACAACAAAGAGTACGATCTTCAAATGTCACACCCGACTCTCCTCAATGCCACAGGCTGACTGTGATACCAGATATGTGCACCTGTTACTGCTTACTAGCGAGCGGGCTTGGGCCCAAGCCATGTCCATGAAAGCTGCTCATGCGACAGGACGCAAGGGAATCGCCGGCCGCACTAAATCGCACATCGTCTCTCGACTCAACCGAGCCGCCAATACTGCCCGCAATCTCGTTGGGGCGCTCTCAGAGACCGCCGTATCGGGCGCCTCGACTCGCGATATTCTCGATGCAAAAGCCTACGAGGCCCTCATTGTCGGTGCCATGCACTTTGAGAAGCGCTCCTGGCTTCCATGTCTCCAGAGCTACGCCGTCTCCAGGGTCATCTACACAGCATTGACTACCACTGGCAAGGGCGACATTTACAAGGACCTTCTTGCCGATACCATAGACCCCTCAATTCGCTATGCCGCATACCAGCTCAAGACACCCCGCACCATTCCCATCCCGACTATTGCACACAAAGCCTTTCCCGACTCCGATGCGGTGCTCGTACAGCAGATCAACGAGGTCGACCCCGGCGCCCTGTCTGGAGAATCGGACGCCAATACATGTCTCGGAAACCCCGATAAAGCCCCCGACACAATTACCTGGCGGTCTCGCGAAGTGCGCATTGAAGACGCCCAAATCGCCCTCGCCTGGGCCTCTGTCAATGCTGCAAAGCAAAGCTTGGCCGAAAACCTGGCCAAGGGCAAAAGCCGCTCCCCTCGTGAGGCGGCGGCTTCCTACGACGACATCCTGACGGCGACGCAAAACGCCGTGGACGCGACCAAGCAGGCCATTGACGAGCTTCGAGGCGAAGGCGTCGCGCAGGGCGATGCCCGCATGCAGAGCTTGCAAATCACCCGCACAGCCGTCAACTTTGAAATGATTAGCTGGAGAATTGGCCGTAACCGAGTGCTGACGGGAGAGTCCGACGGTGCGGTCGAGGAACACGGCCGGTCCAAGGCTATTAAGACGACTGAGACTGATGGCAAGGGGGGTGAAGCCTCTGGTCCCACTGAGCTCCCCATCTCACGAAAGCTTACGAAGCTTAAGGAGAAGGCAGCTCTTTACGATGGTACCCTGCAAAATCTCGAGTCCATCAAGGAGCTGCCAGGCGTGGCTGCCGACCAAACGCTTTTGGATAAGCTGAGCGCCTTTGTCAGCTACTTTTTCGCTCTCAAGTATGTTGCCTCTACTATATGTACCACCCTAAACCTAGCTTTGGTCACTAACAACCTCGCAGAGCCTTATCTATCGCTCGCTCGCACGCCATCATCGGCAACGTCGCAAACGCGCTTGCCCTCATTCAGCATGCATTCGAACGCTGCGAGCTTGCCACGAAGCTGCTACCTGACGCGCCTGCCGGTGCCCCCGGCGCGCCCCCCAACATTGAGGTGTCCAGCGACGACGTCAAGCGGCTCCTCAACCTCGTCCAAGGCGAGCTCCGCCGCCACCAGGCCATTGTCCACGTGGACAACCTCCGCAAGGAGGAGCTGGCCAAGAGCACGGCCGCCCCGGCGCCATTGGTCGAGCGCCTACACCAGTACCCCGCGGGTGGCGTCGATCTCAGCAACGTCGTCGAGTTCCCGCCCAAGAAGGCGCTCATCCCGGTGAAGCCCATCTTCCTCGACGTGGCCTGGAACTACATTAGCTACCCTGGCAAGACGCCCGTCGCCGCCAAGACAACACCTGCTGCCGCGGCCGAGGAGACGGCCAAGGCCGGCGAGCCGGCGCAGCAGCAGAAGAGAGGATGGTTTGGCTTTGGCAGGTAAGGATTTCAGCACGAATAATCCCAGCTGCAGGTGGATTATGAATAAAAGCCATACATAGTTACATATGAAACACACAATAGTGTTGTTGATGAAGAACAAACACCTCAAAATAGAAGGCAGATACTTGCACTTGACAAAGCGCTAAAGGGGCCAATCACCTATTTTTCTTCTAATGCTGTTCGCCTTCTGAGGATTTCTATGGCGACCGATGTATGTATGATGGATGATCCCCTACCAGTGCGTGCTTCGCAGCCCTCATTGTCTCAAACGAGTGAGCCCGCAGACTGTGCGTCCCATTCCAGTGACGACCTGGGAATAGGAACCAACCAAGACAACCCCCCCC